TTTTGCCTTTAAAATCGATAATCTGTTTAGCCCAAAGTCTTGTATTACCCTTCTTAGACTATGTTGATTACAGCAATTTGGATGCTACTGGTAAATTAACTTAAATGGTTGCAAAAACCTATAAATTTCATCTTGACCTTCATGAATATGACCGAACCTCCCATTGCCGCAGTCAGCTCAAGTAGATTCCCGTTCGTCAACAAAGGAATTTTCATATTGTTTCCATTATCTACAATATTCTACTTAACCCTATGTCTCCCGGGTATCTGAAAGAGCATTTCAGGTTTCTCAGGTCAGGTCAAGCTGAAATGATGGTTCCTTGCTCAACATACTAATTAGTAATTTTCCGGATTAATCGTTCCATCATTCTCACTCTTTCGCTGTTCATGCCATTCATGCGGTCAGACTATGGAACACCCTTCCTTTAACTGTTCATGAAAGTAAATTGGGAGCCATTTTCAAAATGAGAGTTAAGGAGTATTAGAAAGAAAGAAAGAAAATAATTTATTTGGCAACATTTTACAATAAATAATACAAAACAAACACAATCATACATTATATGTTACCAAAACGGTCACCACTCGGCTTTTTTGTAATGAGACGTTGAAGAACGCCTCATTACGCTGGTTTTTAGTGGCGCCATAAATGGACAAAAAGAAAGAAAGATGGCGCCTCGTCCATGCAGGTGGTAAGATAAAAATAAAACAAAATAGAAATATAAAGATTAGGTATAAAACTTAATTACAAATATAAATCAAAACTTAAAATATTAAACAAAACCATAAAAATGAAATAAATACCAAAAATGTGATTATAATGTAGTGTATGTGAGGTGAGTATACGTAGTGTAAGTGAGGTGAGTATATTATTATGTAGTGTAAATGAGGTGAGTATATGTAGTGTAAGAGAGGTGATTAGTGTTAACACATTGTACAATTTGGCTCTGATCACTTTTTAAGAACTTTGCAAGCAATGCACGACTACCTTATGTAATGAGATTATAATTGAGTTGATAATAAAAACTTCTTATAGGCTAATTTAAAAGTTATTTATTATAAATATTACTTACTTATCCATCCACTATTCTATTTATTTTATACGTATTACATTTATTATAAATTATGTGGTTATCTAAGTATTTTTACAGAATTTTTTGTTCAGCACGTAAGGCTATTAAAGAACGTAAGTTGTTCTAAATTTTTATTGAATTGATATTCAATTATTTTTGTGAAATTACTCCACTAGTTTGTTATAATTATTAATACAAAGATCGAACACGGTATAGCGTCTGGCACGGTAAGCTAGAAAACGTCGGTTCGAATCCGGCCCGATCGAAGGATTTTTTTCTGAGTGTTCGATCTTTGTATTAATAATTGTAAGTTATTCTACTTATTAGATCCTGTATTCTTTTAGACATAATCAGATCCATTTGTTTGTATTTTCGTTTAGCTAAATGTGATTTGTGTTTTTTTGGTACAATGAACGATTACTTAAATAAATTTAAAAAAAGAGAGGAGAAATGGATACGGAGTTTGCGTGTCAATAGCCACGGATACAGCTTTAGTCGCATTTTAGAAACTTTAAAACACACACGTGTTAATGTCTCCCAGGAAACTAACCGGAATCAGTACCAGTTTGACCAGACGATCGGAAATGGGCTTTATTAAAAACCCCTATACAGCCTTCCTCAGACTTTCACGGCGAACCGGCCTTTTACTTCCCGTACTAAATGCCGACCTATATCCGCCTACAGTATATTGTGGTCTAAAAAAATGTGTTATGCAAAAGAGTGTACTTGTACTTAATAAAGTTAACTGCTAAATACTTTGGCGACTTAACGAACAAAATAACACTGGGATTTAAGAAGACTGTGAAGCCACCTTTCGGCATATAAGTACCTGAAACTGTTTTAAGCACTTAACATTATACTATTTAATTTTTTTTAAATGTTATTCTTAAGAGAGATTATGCTTATTTGGGGCTTCATATTTCATCTGTCTTTTTAACCGACTTCAAAAATGAGGAGGTTCTAATTCGACTGTATTTTTTTATCTATATGTTACACGATGACTGCGGCATTTGTGAACCGATTTTAATGATTCTTTTGTTGGTGGAAAGAGAGCACTTAGAAGAGAGCAATATTTTCAAAATATTCCACCTCTAAGGGTGCCAAAATAGGGGATTAGTCCGGTTCCGGTAACCGATTCCAATAAAATTTGGCAAATAGATACATCTAGATATTTCACGAACTTTTGAGGTCGATTTTTTTTATTAAAAAGTTACAATTACTTATAAGCAAGATTAGCCCTGAGCCAGTTGTCATGAGTAAAATTGAACGTTATTCCTTTAATTTTAGATGTCTTTTACTTAAAAGAAGTATCCTTATAACAATTGACCCTTATGATTGACATCATAAAAATGTTCAATTTCTTTTCACATTTCGCACCCCTCATGGAAGAATAGCATAAGCGAAGTAAATTCCATGAGGGCTGCGGTTTGATTAGTTCGATCCCCAAATGGGGCAAAAAACTTTAGACAATTGAAATATTTATTCATCAACAAAAAAATTTCGTTTTCCAAACAAATTAAAATGAAAATGTTATTTCGCAACTTAAAAGTCAGTTTTAACTCCAGCTGCCTTTTTTATTTTCTAAGGTGACCGCAAACTCAATATATATTAGTAAAATCTCAGGTAATCACCATGTTATTGTATTTTCTAAGCCATTTTTAGTAGCAGTAGAGGTACTTGTGAAAGAGTTCGCCCAGGGAAGTATTGCCGTCTTACCTATTTCTGCCGCCAAGCAGTAATGAGAGCATTATTGAATTCCGGTTTAGAAGGGTAAAGGTGCTGGTGAAATTACAGGCACATGGGACTTGCAGTGGCAGTGCCCCTCAGATCTTTGCGATTAAAAGCTCTGAGTGGCACTGTTACTGTTATCGATACGCGTATCTACTTGGTATTACAAAAAAAATAAAAAAGCACTAAATTTTGTTCTACTGATATAAAAAAGAGAGATACGTCATGACGCAATGTGAGATCGCGTACCGATGTCGCCACTTTAAGGGTCGTATTCTAGAACTCTACTCAATGCTCAAGTCAGGATTGCACTGAAAACACAAGCACTGGAAATACGACTCTAATGGCAGGGACTTGAGTATGATTTCGAGTGCTTTAAACCATACTCAAATCCTGACTTGAGCATTGAGTAGAGTTCTAGAATACGACTCTTAGTTGTGTGCAAATAACGATTTTGATTGGCAAGGGTTTAAAACATGAAAACAACGTCACATAATTTATTATTTTTACAAAATCAAACCTATATTTACTGTGTAAGATTTATATTGCAGTTATTTCAAAATTTCTTTTCATCCCGGTTCAGCCAATCACCATCAGGTGGCGTTAAAGTTAAAAAAGTTACTTGTGTTAGCTATTACATGTTTAGATTACGCTAAAACTCATTTTTCGTTGTGATCCAAACACACTGACCAAAGTTTTTGTTATTCCGTGATCTTGCATATAAGGCTTAAAATAGTTTGGCGCTATTCGACGAGAGCTTGTACCTATTCAAGCTCTCATCGTGTAGCGCCAAACTATACCTAATCGATAGCATGGTCTAATAACGCAGCAGGACTAATCTCCATGCTACAGACCGTAACTTTCAAAAAGGTCAAAAACCAGTCTTATATCTAAATAGAATTGATCATTAGCCTGGGAGTAGTTTATGTTAAGTAAACATGCTTATCAATAGATGGCATTGTGTTTACAAAGTAATTTAAAAATTAACGCTTGCTAACATGTGTAGACTTCTTCCAAACACTCCAATAAAACGCCGTATTAACCAAACTGATTTATTAAATTATCTATTCCTCCAACAATTTATACTAGAACTTTAAAATATACTCAACAAAATTTGTAACCACAAAATACCGTTATAATTCCTGACCAGTAACTTTAACATTTGATGAGATACGAATGCATAAATTTTTCTTTCACCTCAAGACATTGCCTCGTAAATCCCTTCTTTTTCAATTCCCGCCATTTTTCGCAAGTAGGGAACTAAAAGCAATGTCATTGGCTAGTCGAACCGGTAGATAAGGTGTTCGGACCAATCACAATCAACACCGACACGCCATCTACACGGTAACATTTCGGAAACCTAATATTATCAATTAACAAACTTTTTAAATTAATATATGGAATAAGCTTATTTACCCTTATAATATTTAAATAAATGATAATGAAAATAATTTTTCTATTTTACGATTATATAATAATACACATGAATAGATATAATAACTGCTGCCATCTTTGGGATGGCTCAGCTACATACCAACTGGCCACCGTGCCTTGTAGGTGACTCAGAATTGGTGAAGGCGAAGTTGCAGAGCCTTGAACACTGCCGTAAAGTTGTCTGCTTATCGGTATTTTACAGGATATATCACGGAGAGTGTGCGATGAAATTACACGATTTAATTCCGCCTTCCCCTTTCCATCATCGGGGGATTAGACGTTGGCTTGAGTACCACCCCTATGTTGTGGATATTCCAAAGATTCGCTTGAAGCGTTACGCTTCCACGCTGCACGCTCCACGCTCCACGCTGTGGAGCAGAATTCCCTGCCTGCACACTTGTCCCCTGAATTGTTTTGATAAATTGCAACTTGTACAAATTAAGTATAAAAATAATTATTTGGTACTCGTCGCGACATCTGTTGTACCAATAGGTACTAACTATTAAATAATTGGTCATAAATAATCCCTTATTTTTTCGGATATCTGTTTTGTCCATTTTATCCAGGATTATTGGATCTTGCATAAATAGTATTTTTGTTAATAAATAAACAAACGAGCCTTTTTCAAATCATCTTTTTAAATAATACTTAAGCTTGTCAAAAAAATCAATCACAGTTGACAAGGTATCACAATCGCAACAAATATTCACTCTATTTGAATATTGTTTATTGTTTAGCATTATTACTACTTTGTTGATAAGTTATAGATATGGCCAAAGCAGGGCAAGGGTCGCATGTTAAAAAGCCTGCTGGATCTAAAGTCGAAGTGACAAAGATACTCGTGGACCCCAAAGAATGTCCTTTTAGAGAATTCAGGGACAATGAATTGTCGAATGAATATTGGGGAATGGTAAGTCCTAGCCACAGAAATATCTGAAAGTGAGGAGACTTGGAGATTGTCCATTTAGGACGTCTTCCGAATGAATGATGTTGTCAATGAACTAAATATTCCACTTACTGCTTCATTCATAATGGTAAGAGAAAATGTGTACTGCTAAGGAACAAGTAGGTTCTAATAGAAATTACGCAATAAATGTGAAATACAATAACGCAAAGAAAAAAATAGAATTGCCACGGTTTTTCAAGTCATGTGAATGTGAGTCAAAGAAAGGGTCAAGTAGGTGAAAAATTATTTATTCTTGCTGTGTCCTATTCCGTCCTGCTGCGTCGCCCATCAAATGAAAACCCCGCGCGCTCGTCATCTTTGATTTCAAATCATCCCTCTCTCTTGCACACTCCTTCTCTCTCACTCCCACGTTTAGATACGTTCACCGATCACCTAAATTATAACAATGCATGCGTTCAGATCTAGGTATCCCATTTGAATTATTATTATTTATTTCCTTTATAAAAAATATTCACACTGACCACTATTGACAAGCTTGAAACTCGTTTAAGGAGTCTTTATGTCTATAAAAATGGAAGTATATTAATTTATACGCCGCGAACCCAAACGGTCCGCGGAGTATAGCAAATTAATTTATACTTCCATTTTTATTAAGATGGACTTCCGCAAAGTAACGCCTGAATCTATCAAATTGTTTTGTTGTCTCCCAAAAAGTCCACCAGTGATACGTTCTCGTCGTTCGTCTTCTGATTATGAATAAAGAAGGTTCTCTTTCTTCCAATGACATATTCGTTCTAAAGGCTCGTATTAGAAAGCTTAAATCTCTTTTGCTAAAGAATAAAACAGCTTCTCAGTATAGTTATATGTTTGGAAAACTTGAAACAATAGATTTTAAGGATTCAAGAATGTTTATGGGTGTGATATTTTTTCAGCCGACTCAAATACTTCCATTGTTTAGCTAGGATGTGCGATAGAATATACCCACTACATTACAAACACAAAAGTTACAGTAACAATCTTCGCGCTTGTTATTACTTCTAGTTTTGATTCCGTGTCCGTTTTATTTGTTGTAGATTTGTTCTAAATGGTTTATCATTGTTTCCCGAAACTCGACCTTTTATTTCCTGTAAAATTCATAGCGCTGTTTATAACAACAAGGATACTGGACACCTCAGTTCGCTAGGATTATTCGCTTGACACTTCTGAAAGTCTGACCCTTAAAGCAAATTTTAGGGTACAGCGGCCTTCAGAGCAGTACAAAACCAACCTACGGGAAGCAAGCCAACGCCTAATAAAATGGCTTCCCCGACAACAATAAACCAATACTGGGTAGACGAACAGACTCAACCACTTCCCAGCTCAATAAGAGACTACTTACACGAGTGGGTAAGAGCTGAGGACCTTGCTGCGAATAGATGGGACGCAGAAGTTGTTATTTTTGAGGTATGTTTCCTCACTAGAAAAGTATAATAATTTGATAGAAAAGTTGAAATTTATTATTAAGCATTTATACGTCTTACTGCCAAGAGTCTCATCTAAAGTGAGGATGTAAGCCACTTTTGTGAAATGCAAGTTGAAGACTTCACATGTTTTTTCCAAGAGAATCTTTTGCAAGATGTTTAATCAATATGTTTCTGATGAAAAGCTGCGATGAGCAGTCACACATATACGTAATTTAAACAAGACAAGTTCCATTCCGCAACTGGGTTTTGAACCGGTAGATAATTGAAAACATAATAATAACGCACATACTCTTAGTAGTTATTATTTTTACCTCTTATTTCGTCAATTGAATCGCCAACCAAACCTCAGACGTTCTTGATAGACAAATAAACTCAACGACCTTCTATCTTAGTCCAAGGGTATACAAAAAGATCATAACTCAGTATCTTTCTATGCTGCTGTTGATAGCAATAACAATAAATATATTAATAATAACAAACACACCAATTGCCTAGTCTAAAACTAGAAGAACACTCAAATGAGAACCAATTTAGAAAGGTTCGTTCCTCAAATTCTCTTCCCATCTAGCGTCATTTGACCTAACTACTGGACCGCAGAAGTCGTCAAATGAAGTACGTCATCATCACCCATTATTTGCTGATCTCGAGGTAATTTTCAACAGGATCCGAGGATGACCGTGGTAGACACGCAACTTAGTCACACGCAAGTTCTACATCGATCCACTTACTGCAGAAAAGTCCTGTCAGCGTGTTATATCCTAGAAAGAACTGATTTTACTGTACGTATTCTACAATTTTGGGCTATTAGAATTCACTCCGGGGCGCTACCCAGAACACCCAAATCATCCACCTTGATTTATAGCTCTAAAAATCCTCTACAATTTAATTCTTAATTTTTCGCGATTGCTATTGGAATCGAAACTATTTTTCTCCGGATCTAAATCGCGTACATTTGTTTTTTTTTTTCAAACAAATCAACATTTCGAGCTCTTTAGATCTGTATGTATGGTTCTATAGTTTAAGTTCAGAATAGGTTGGTTTGCATTAACGTAAGACGTAACTGGTTGACATCGAGTATATAACTAGAAATAGAGACGAAATGTCATTTAATTTGTTTGAAAACTAGTCTGTCTTATCATTACGGTGATAACTGCGCTCCGATTGGCCAGCCCTAATTCGAAACTATTGACGGTTGTCGTCAATTGTTTCGTTTCAAAAAGTCCAGTTTAACTTGAGCTTTCCTATAGTGGATGAAAATTGAAAATTATATATTTAATATTTAATTACCGATGTAATGTACTTCCGTTTGTTTTGTAATTAGATGTTTTGCTATTTTTCCCACACCACCGAATGGAACAGCCCCCCATTGTTAGAGATATTTACAATTAATACAGAATATTTTTGGAATATACGGAGACGCACACACAGGTCAGTCGTTGGCGCTGTACTATTTCAGCTTTCTAATTTGTGATTTCAGCGCAAACGAGAGTTGATATTTTAAAGTATATTAGTACCATTTGACTGGTGAGTTTCCAGGGGAGGATGGCCGTTATATACTCGATGCCGGTTGATGACTTCAATTCACGATCGTGCTCCTACTAAATACTCCCACTGATAGGAGAACGAAGACCTTTTTGTCCTGGTTCTTTTACTACACAAAAAAAAAAATTAGGAATCACAATATATTAAAAATGTTATTCTGTTGACTCATGTCACAAAATTTTATGTACAGTTAAACGCAAAAACTATCTCAGTTAGCCGCGACCTGTGAAGAGCTCGTAATGGCGATTTGTTTGAATAAACAAATGTAAGCGATTTCATGAAATGATGATAATTATGATGATGAAGCAATTTAATTCCGAAAAAAATTGTTTCATTACTTCTTCATAACTCGAAATTACATTTAAATTGTAAATATTAAATGTTATAAAGGTTTTTTAACCACAGGTGGAACACCAATGGGATTTATTTACTGCAAGCTTCGGGCCAGAAGGGTGGAGGGCGCGTTACCACATCTATGCACCGGGGATGAAGTCTGGTGGTGGACCACAACATCGGCCTACCTTGTCCAAAAATGGTCAGTAGTTATTTTTATCTTGGAGTATTACAATTGTATTTTAAATTGTAATATTCTAAGTTCAATGTCAAAAGATAAAAGGAAGTAAAATAGCAATAACTCTCTTGTGGAATCGACGCTACCAATTGCACGCAGAAATTGGCCCGTTTGTAGGTTTCCTATGGGATAAATTTCAAAAAGAGTTATAAACAACTTCTGAATTTAGTTCTACCTTTGCCATTCCTCATTTGATCGACTAAAAAGTTCATAGCACTCCATCCTCATGTCGTCGATATACCACCTATTTACACGAAGCTCTTTGTGCCTTCTTTCCTAATTCGTATAGAAAAAGATCGGAATACACTACCCGCATCTATTTTTGCCGAAAAGTACAATTTAGGGATGTTCAAGGTTAGAGTGAATATGCATTTTTTGGACAAACGCGCAATGTCGTTGGTCAAATGGCAGGTTAACATGTGGTGGTGACATTGTGACCAAATGTGTGGCTATGAAACAATTATAAAGTGAGTCACTTGAGTTCACCCATAGTAAAATATTCCTTGAAACTAAATAAGAGCTCAGGAGTGTCAATTAATCAGCTTTGAATTACAGTGTTACTAAAGCAACAAGCTTAAAAATATCATTTAACACGCTATTACCATAAACCATCTAAGCCATGTCGCTACAAAGTCACGTCGTATGGGTGATAAAATTTGGAACTAATTTTATTGGCTTTTTTATGCATAAGTTACAACAAACAAGATACGATTCTGTTGGAAGCTCTGAATTTTACACTAGTATACTTTTTGTCGTAAGTAAAACGTACGTGCCTCATGAGAAGCTAGAAAGTGTCCAAAAAGACACGACTGGAGTGCCTGGTGTCTAAACTTATTGGTAGTGAATGCCCGATTTAATGCAGAATTAATGCAATGGAAATGAAAGCTTAAGAAGCATCGCTGGAGTAACTCTGATGGACAAATTACGGTACAGTGTGATAAGAGAGCATTGTAGCATGGAAGTAGATATAGTGTTAAAGATGGAGAAAGGGTAAACGAATGCAAGAAGATTGACGAAATAGACTTACAAGGCGAAAGTGAGCGGGCAAGTTGGTAAGGGCCAAATGACTCGAACTTACCATGATCAAATTGAGGACGTTCTAACGAAACGCCAAGTTAAGAGTACTTTTAAAGCATATATGAAAGCACTGATGCGTGTTGATGAGCATAAGGATATCTGTCAGGATTATAGCATATGCGTGAAGTATATGTATGTATGTTTGTAAAACAACCAGTCTTTCTCAATCTTTAGGAACGAACATTCTGCATTAATCGTCATATGGTATACATCGATAAAATGACACTTGAGCTCCAGATCAAGATGTGAAAAATAAGCGATATCATAAAGTTCCAGGTTTATTTAAGATATTGAGGTAGCACTGTATATGCTTATCGATCTAACATTTGCGCATTAGTGGGATGCAGACGAAAATCATGAATTTATGATAATATGCCTACGTAATGGTTGTCTCTGATTTTTTCCTAGTATGAAAACGAAAACCATAATGGTATAATTGGCGGCATAAATAAGTTTGTAAGTGTACAATTAAAGGTGACCGAGAACTAGTTCGAGCAAGGCCGACAAGAATCGGTCCCACGCATTGAGACGGTCACCGCTTTCCATGAGATTGACGTGTACTATTATACGAGTAGTTCTTCAATGATACACTTATTTCCAAAAAAACTTGTCGATATCGTTCCTCCAGCCGCACATGCGAACACCCCTTCTGTTATGGCCAACCGTGTTACCATTTCATTGTTATCGATTCTACTCAAATTAAATCGACTACTAATTATTCGTATAAAGTTCTTTTTTTTTTGTTAATATATGTAACATCACGCACAAAAAATTAGTTCAAAATTAGTAACCTCGCCTTGCCGCTAGATGGCGTTGGGATCAAAATAGAACGCGCTATCGAAGTGTTAACTAAATTACCATTTAAGTTGCAACAGAGAATTGCTCTGTGATATGGCCTGTGAGTGGCATTCCAGTACTAACACCGGGTGGGATACTTGGATGAAAGCTCATAGAATCGTCGGCTGCCGCCATCCACCTGGTGGGAGGATGAGCGCGATTACGTCTCCTGTGTCGATCATACAACTACGTCAATAAAAGCCGTTGCTCGTTTGGAGGTTCAAGCGTCTTTCTTCACGCTTCCTCGCTTCGTGTACCTATTACATATGTATGTTTGGTACAATTATTAAATACAAAAATGGAACCCAATGAAAAAAAACCGTCGACCCGACAGGACTGCGGGGATTCCGTCCCCATTGCTTTATCAACTAAGCTATAGGTCGAGTTACTAAGTCGACCAAATTCTTCTATGTGTTTGTTATAAATTTTTCTAATAGTTCTTAGTCTTAATAGTGGGCTTTCAACACCGTAGTGACATCTGTGAGAGGATTTATGAACCCTCTCACTCAGTTGTTAACTTTTCAGTTACCATAAGCCAACGTTGCTTTTTTTACGAATATGTATGTATTGTTGATTTGTTTTTATTTTGTGATATTTCTAGATAGATAGATAGATAGATAGATAAAACGTTTATTTGTTACTACATTCACACGTACATAACAGCAAAAAATAAAAAAAACACAAATAATAAAAAAACACAAACACAAACAGTTTATTTTTATTTCTAGTTTATTTTTTTATTTAAAATTTCAATCAATATATCCACAAATAACTAGTGCTAACACTATTGTCATATCATTTAACACCTGCTGGTTGTGATCTTAGAAAATACACATGGAACATTAACAATATTTTTAGCGAAAATATTGCTTGAGACCGCCTAGGTTCCATACATTGCGTACATATTATCACTTCTTAAAAAAAATTCGCGTTTTTTTCTGTTCCGCGGCAATATAAATTGAACCATAAAGGAAGTGACAAAGCTGGATAACTCTAATACATACGAATGTAAGTTAGTGGCAGCATGAAAAGTACATATTCCTTCAGTGCGCCCGCTTATTTTTCCATGGTACTAAATGACGTGCCTGTCCATAACAGTTGCAGTGTTAATCAAAGCTTTAAATCGTAAGGATCTTAGGGGCACCCGTCACCCTGGGACATAAATTGACAAGTCTCTTGTACCTCCAATTTCACCAGCACCCTTATTCTTTAAAACCGGAACGCAATAATGCTCAAATTACTGCTGGCAGCAGAAATAAGTAAGGTGGCAGTGCTTCCCTGGACGTACTCTGTTTTACAAGAATGTTTCAAGTAGTAAAATTCCCTCGAGGAATAATTATACAGCTTTGTTGTACGAGTACATGGGATCAAATACAAGGAACAATGGATGAATTGGCCTCATTTGTCCATCATTATATCTGCATACGTTCATAGTTACCTCTTTGCAGGTTGTTACTTAGTCCGCTTGTACTACCTCGGCGCGTGGCGCTGCATCTGGGTGTCGGATCAAGTACCCGTCGACGCTAATGGGTCCCCCCTGCTGCCGTTCTCCCCTCTAATACTCCATGTAGCTACTAAACCTAAACAGACTCCCGCTACTGTTACTTCGGGAGTGATACATTTGTGGCCTTTGTTGCTTTGTAAGGTAAGAATGTCAAAGAACATCCCATCATAACTAGTGGTATGGCTGTGCAGTACACGCCCGGATGGACATCTCTCATGACATGTATTTCTATAACGGATAGGCAAACGTAATAATTCGTTTTTTTGCGTTATAATAGGGTTGTAAATGTAGTTCGTATTAATGAGTAGAATCATCCACATTGATATAAAGCACTAAATACCTTTACAATCTAATTTTTTGGTTGTCGCAACTGTTACATGTTGGAAAATATTATTTTTTTCGTATTTAAATCGCATGTATTTGTTTTTTTCGAACAAATCTACGTTTCGGCCTCTTTGCAGATCCAGTGTCTTATTAACCACCCTTGTAGCAAGCATTAAGGCGATTTGCCGTTGATGCAGCCGTTCGCACGCCCGTCGCGCCAGTTCTTTCTAAACCACAATTATAGATAGATAGGTAGATAGATAAACACTTGATTCACTAGTATGACACAAATACAGATTGAATACAAAAGGAAAAACAAAACATTTTGGTCGTAGCAGTGAAATGGCACTGACTCAGCATATGCCCAAGTTCCTTAAGGCGCTGGTTTTCAGTCAGAACCAACGGGAGGTACTAAATCCAGAAGTTATTTGTAATGAAAGATCTAAAAATCTAAACGACTAGGAGGAACATTGTTCATTAAAACAATAAATGTAATAAAGTGTGAATAGTGCATCTAAAGTAACCTCTTCAATACGTAACTGCATGTGCGGATTTGAATATAGGTACATATAAGTGTAACTGTTAGTGAAAATAATGATTGTTAATATATTTTGGTGTAATAACAATTCGCCATCATCGGCACGCGTACGGACGCAATCGGCAATTCGCAGGAAACTGATTCGTTGCCGACTTGTGTTGAACCGCGTTCGGACGAACCGACGCGAAACTAACAACGTCTTTTTTGCTATTACATTGGTGATAAAGCTTTTTTGTCCTCTCGTGAAACGCGTGCGGTTCGGTTCCTCACTACGTACCGCACGCGTTTCACTCTAGCGGCAAGCTCGCGAACCATGGACATACTATGATTTTTGGTAACATTAAGCCGGGCTTATTACCAAGCTGTAACTGTAGCGTGACAGATACAGTAACGAGGCTCTATGAGTCTTCATTCGCTAGAATGACTACCTGGTTATCGTCGGCTCACAGCGAACCACACGCGTTCCGATCGCGGCAAGCTCGCGAACCAAGCACATCACTTACGTTGCTCTGATCCCAAAGTAAGTAGCTAAAGCACTTTTGTTGTGGAAATCGGAAACAACGACGGTGTCACGAACACCCAGACCCGAGACAATATAGAAAAGTTAGTTTTCCACACTGACCCGGCGACATCGAACCCGGGACCTCGGAGATGGCGACACCATGAAAACCGGTGTGCAAGCCGGTCTACCACCGAGGCCGTCAAAAGATTCCGCAACGTTGTCAGTTTGTTTGAAAATACAAATATACCTACGCGATTTAGGGTTGGAAAAACAATATTTTCATTTCCTACGTGCAACAATCGCGAACACCTAAGAATTCGATGATATTAAATCTTTCAGGCTTTTTCAAAAACTAACTGTATCTCACTATTACCTGTATTAGCACATAACACTGTTTTGCGTGTAAACGTGTTACCACAACTCGGGCTTGTTAAGTTTTTGTATTCGAGATGAATTTACGAGCTTCTAAATGTCGCTTTGAAGCACAAAATAAGCTTTGTTAGTTTTCATGTACACTTCATATTATTTCGTTGGTGACATAACAAAAATCTCTCTATTAAAACGCCTGGCCGAAGTCGTATACCATTCTTGTCACGTATATGGTTAATTGCTATTAGAAACTTAGCAGGCGTTCCTGTGTACAACATAGCAAATTAAAATCGTATTGGCTTGATTGATGCCCGGGCAATTTTTAAACTCAACTCTAAGGTACATACGCTAAAGATTGTTCCAAGTGTGAAACCCAGAGTGCTACATGTGACTATTGCTTTTGTCTTTTATGTGAAGAAAATTGCGTTCTAGTAACTAACGATAATATAAGTACGATTTCAAAATCGACATTAAAAGCGTATTATTATTTGTTATAATATTTAGCGGAAAATTTAATTGTCATTATTCTTTGGTAGTTTATTTATTAAGTTCTGCTAAACTTGAAAGTTGTGCAAAGAGGCTTATAGGTGACTTGGATTTAATAGAGGCGAAGCTGCAGAGCCTTGAACATCGCCGTAAAGTTGCCTGCTTATCGGTATTCTACAGATACCGCCTACCGCCTTCCCCTTTCCATCATCAGGGGACTAGACGTAGGCTGAGGTTCCACCCCTGTGATGTAGATACTCCAAGGATTAGTAAGAAGCATTTCGCTTCCACATTTATATGGCAAACAGCTGTGGAATCGAATTCGCTGCCTGCAAACTTATTCTCTGAATGCTATAAACTTAGGCCTTTTTCAAGGCGAGAGTGAATAGATATTATTTAGGTGTGCATGCTCCATTGTCGACTTCATGATCACTATCCATCAGATGAAATTGAGGTCAAACGCACTTTTTTGCAAAGTTGCCTACGAGGCTTATTTGCCAGGTTCACATTTCTGCTATGGACCGGACAAGTCAAATGTATAGTGCGTTCATAGGTGATATTCGCTCTGTATACATCGTTAATATTTCTAGCTTTCTGAGCTGCAGTAACACCGCGTTGAAATTTTCATTCAATAATTATAACTTGTTGCACCGACTTGGTGCCGTAAGCTCCTGCTCCCAGCGCCTCACCATCGGGGAGTCCCATTTAGCTGCAAGGTTGCTAAGGATACTGTCTTATATTCGTGCTACCTTTGTACGATGAAAAAAACAATCCGTGCCAGCCTCAACAAACGTAGTGGAGGCACTTCAGCAAGGCGTCAACTTAAATAGCACCCTAAAAGCATTATTATATTGGACGCGCACTGCGCCGTATGCACTCTGCGTAAATTTGACCCATTGGCTACATGTGTAGAAAGACTGGCAATAATGCTTTGAAAAGCAAAACCTGGACCTGGTCGCTCAAGCGTTCGGGAAATTACGCCATATCTTCTTGTCCAAAATACCACAGTGTCACAAGACAAAAGTCTTCGACGAGTGTGTGTTACCAGTGATGAATTATGGCACTGAGACGTGGTCGCTCGCTATGAGCCTCATAAAAAGGCTCAAGGTCACTTAATGGGCAATGGAAAGGTCTATGCTCGGAGTTTCTTTACGAGATCGAATCAGTAATGAAGATATCCACAAGGGAATCTGAGTAACCGACATAGAATTGTAAAACTTAAGTGGCAATGGCCAGGGCACATTGCTCGCGGAACAGATGGCCGATGGGGCCGAAGAGTTTTCGAGTGGCGACCGCGTACCGGTAGACGTGGCCTGGGCAGACCACCCACAAGGTGGACGGGTGACCTGGTGAAGGCTGCGGGAATCCGCTGGATGCAAGCAGCGCAGGACAGGTCGTTGTGGCATTCTTTAGGGGAAGTCTATGCAGTGATGGTGATGATCTGGTCACTACTACGTGCAAACCTTCGCGCCAACATGTTACACCGCACAGACTCCGCACTGCACCCGTTCAGTATCTAAATTATCATTTGTATCATCACTGACCCAATGCCTCGGATATTTACGTTCCACTTTTTATAAGGGAATATCAATATCTAATGAAACCTACTGATTTTTAGGCACTCCTGAAACTAGCGGCTCCAGAAATGTCACAAATTAATGACGACAGTTCTAACGCTGATACGGAAGATGAAGAAATGTTGGATTTCGATATTTTGCACGCACTTACTGGGTGTATGAGTCAACGTTACTTTTTGCAAGGTACAGGCCTATACCTCTTCTATTTAAGTTTTATTTATAGTGCCATTCCATATCAATCAAAGTCAAAGTCAGAAGTTTATTCACCAAAACAACACTGTATATTATCTATAGTTAAGTAAAATTACACAAAATACAGACTTTATTTATGCAGGTACACGTAATAGTAGAGTCGTTATACCATTATTTTTTTAAGAAAATAAATATTTATTTATATTTCAATTTATAAATTCATTGATTTTATAAAAAGCTTGATTTCCAAAGTTTTGGTGTTTGCTTGGATGCCATTTCCAAGTCAGTCCATTAACTGGTAGTTTATAGTACATACATAGATAGATAGATAGATAAACATTTTATTGCTCACACACAAGAACAAGAATAGTACATAAACAACTTAAAACTAATGTGGGCAAAGGCGGTCTTATCGCTAAGAGCGATCTCTTCTAGAAAACCTTAGAGTTAGAGGAAAGCTAATCGGAGCGGGAGACGTAGTGTGCCAATTTTACAAATATAAAAAAAAATTGTATAAATAAAAAAAAAACAAAATAAAAAACATTAAATAAAGACATAGTAATTTATAAAATAATGATATATTATACCTATGTCGATATATGCATATATAAATATACCTAAATAAACTTATACTTACTAATAACTAATACATTCTAATACACACGTTGCAGACTAGGACTGTGATAAAAGATATTTACGCAAACCGGCTTTGAAAATAGGTAGCGACTTAGAATGTCTGATGTCAAATGGGAGATCGTTCCACAATTTTGCAGCCTTAATCGTAAAGGAATTTTTGTAATACTCAGAGCGAGTATTACAAAAATTCGACGAGGATATTATTCTTTGTATTTACGCCCTGTTTTTACTAATCTTATTTTATTTGCTACTAGTTTATGTTTACTGCTAAATGTTTGTATGTTTGATATCTTATCTATTCTGTGGCAGTAGAGCTCCTTGTGAAAGAGTTAATCCAGGGTAGTACTGCACCTTATCTATTTCTATCGTCAAGCAGTGACGTGCAGTGACGTGAGCTTTACTGCGTTCCTGTTTCGAAGGGCAAGGGAGCTGGTGAAATTACAGGCACTTGCGAACTTACGTCTCAGGTGTCGGCCGCAGTGGCAGTGCCCCTCAGATCTTTGTCATTTAAAGCTCTGAGTCATACGGCAACTGTTATGGACAGGCATGTCGCTTATCATCAGGCGCACGACATGTTCGTCCCGTCACTTATTTTTTATAAACAAAAATATTTGCAAATAATCTAGATCCAGACACGGCATGGAAGCTGATAACATCTGAAGTGCCAGTGTTTGGGTGGGACGACGATGATGACGGAGCGATGTCCAGCACGAACAAGACGAGAAGCACCAAGAAAGCCAGCGCCAAGGAATCTCCTAACGTCAAGGTAGGAATCTGGAAATCTTCTGGATTTCTTTTAATAATCTTGTTTAATAAATGCCAATTGGATTTTTATGAGTGGCAGTACTCAGATCTTTGTGATTTAAGGCTCTTGAATGGTCCTGCAATTGCTAAGGACAGGCGTGTCGCTTACTACCAGGCGCTTGACTTGTTCGTTCCATCGCTTGATATCATAAAAAAACTATTCAAGTAGTCGCTCTTCTATTCTTCTTGTAGGTTTTTACCGCTATTTGAACCTGAATTTAAATAAATTATGGGATAATTAATATTGTTTTTAGCAACGATCCATGCTCTCAGTGTGCATAGAGGACAGTCAGCAATTGCCGCCATATACTTTGCCTGGTGTCAGCCCCGGGTATAGCATGACCCTCGTCGTCACCATGGCCAGGGATGTGCCTTTGAAAAAACCGCTGCCCGAGCCTGGTAACACACCAAACGTTGTATTATTACGTAACTTGTTTCTGTTAATTGTTTTGCCAATTTTATTATGAAAACTAACACGGTTATCACACATTATAATATATAACGAATAAAATACTACGCGAGTAAGTCCCGTTACTTTTATATTATAATATTTTGCCAATATTTTGGGAATAACATCTCATGGAAATATGGAGATTATACCAAAATGTAGGGAGAGGATGAAAAAGTTGTGTAATCTCCCAAAATATATCTGTACCATTACTAAATCTATGATCTGAACACAAATAAAAAATGTTTATTAACTGCCTCTGTGGCCGAACGGTTACCATGCCGGACTGCCACGCAGAGATCCCAGGTTCGATTCCCGGGGCGGGAGAAATATTTACATGGCCTACATTTATTTCTCTCGTGAGTTTCGGTGTAATTTGTGGTTATCTATGTGTATGTCCATGGCACCCGCGACACACGGTTTCCGTATGGGGCTATATTGAGTGTGTGCGTTATTATTATTTCAAATCTGAGCAAATTACACTTCAAATCCTCGTATTATATTCGTAAGTTTTATTCCCCTCAGAAGAATGAGCAACTTAGGAATAACTACTCTAGGTCTTAGAAAAAGTTCCTTTGATCCGGCTGAATTCGAGCCACCGTCTTCTAGTTACCTTACGGAATTTTTTAAGTGCTTGTTGCAAACCTTTGTTTTTTGGTTTTTAACGACTTTTTTGACGGAGCGTCATCTGTGGGAAACTGGCTGAGTGAAGAAATAGATTTAACACAGATGGCGTTACGGCAAAAAAGTCGTTAATACTGTACAATAACTTCCCATATCGGTTGTCGGTACTTCGACAGATATGACCAGGCCACTGCCTCTTCAGTTTCCTAATTCAGCTAGCTATGTCGACGATCTTGATTTTTTGTCTTTTAACTGGTGGACCACGTCGCGGTACCTTGTCCTGTCAGATAGATCAATTCTTTGTTTCTTTCTTTCTTCAATTCTTGTTCTGTTTTATTGATAATTATATTTAAAAGATTATTTATATTAAATTTACCTACAGAGATCCCTCTCTGGAAGACCTACAGATGGCTGGACTGGGCGCGCAGTCACGGTCTTTACGAGGCTTACGACTGTCCTCGCACCAGGTTCGTCAGAGTAAATGGACTGCTAAAATTGTCTTACGCACCTCATCTACTGGAAGTTCAGAGTACCGAGTCGGTGAGTAACGTCCTTTGTTATTCCTCTTAAGATACAGTAAACTTCAATGGAAAAAGCGCTAAAGCTCCCCATGTACGATCAACAGCACATCAAGGTATTACACGTTTGTTCGAATATAGGTTCACAAGTCTTGGAAAAACAAGGGTATTATCTCAAAAACACAGATTTTTCAGAAGAGCAATTTTAAAGATTCTTGTAGCAATATTTCAGCCTCTGTTGTTATTTGGTTTTCCTTACCTATTTGTATTTAAAGCCTTACACATTTAACAGTATTTTCGGATACTTCTTATTCTTATTCAGTTTCGTAGTTTTTGAGAGGATAAATTGAGGAGAGGAGGAATTTGAGAGGAGCATAATATTACTATTTTGAACATATTATAGTATATTTGTGATTCAGATATAAAAGAAGGAATTATTCAATTCGATAAAACTTTGAGGAACACAGTAGTATCTAAAAAAATTGCTCTACACTATAGATTACCATAATAATTCAATGAAATAAAGGTATTACCTTGAAATAATCGTCTTCGTTTTAGAAATAAATATTTTTAAAATACACTTACCTTATAATGAACACGTGCTGTGTTCTCGTGTTAATACCCTGTTCAACTGTCTTGACGACTACAGCTTCGTGTGTAATACTGAATACGAATGTGTTGCTCGATATTTGAGGTCAAAACGTGCAAAAAGTTCAAAGATACTGCCCAGCCTCTCGCGTCATTTCACGTTTGACCGTTATAAGACCTTGTTCATTAGAAAGATCTCGATTTTTTTTTAATAGAACTGCATTTTTAAGTATTGTATAAGTTCTGCATTTTGTGTTGATTCCCTATTACGGTCATTTGAGAACAGTCCCCCGACGCCAGTGCCATCACTTGCAGAGAAAAACCCGCGTGTCTTCGGACCTACTTACTATGAGCGGGTAAACGCTACTCTGAGACTTGAACCATCTGACGAAACATTTAGGCGCCGGCTTTACCTAAGACCTTTTCTTGGAAAATCCTGTATATGAGTTTATAGATCTAAAAATGTAACTCTATTGAGTATTTTCTGTTATATGTTTTAATTTCCATCGCATTATATATTTGTTATCAACTTACGACAATCCTTATTGGAGAATGATATTTGATATGTAATTTAATGCAACAGTATTATTAACAATGAATTGTAAGTTTTTTAATTATTGTGTTTTTTTCTTATAATTTTCATTTATGGTTGATGATTTCAATATAATTTCTTATACTTTGCAATGTAGTGCAATAAAGGTAAAAACAATGATGACAATGCAGTGCAATGAAGATAAAAACAAATAAAGATAAAAACAATGTCTACCTACTTATAAGATTTTTTCATATTTTGTATTAGTTCGTTCGTAGCAGAAGGAATGAATTGCATCGAGACAAACCCATGTAGGGTTTAACGGTGTTTTACGATATTTATGTATACTTTTTTCTTCAAACAATAAAATAAATTAATAAATAAAATAAATTAATAAAATGTATACTGTAATAATATATTTAAGAACTTAACTTGAAATTAAGACTTGTAAGTAAGACAACTTGAATTTTATATCGAGTGAATATCTCGGTTCCGTATAATATTCCTCGCAAGTCTTTGTCTCACATTTTTAAAACATCACGTAGTAGAAATAATTTGGGCACCCATTCTCCTGTGAATAGAATCTGTATGGTATACGAGGATCTTTGTATTTGGATATTTTCAATAATTTCTTGTCTTTGTTTAGACATCGTGTATTGCAATCAGGTTTTTTTTTCATAATATTAAGTGACCGGACGAACGAGTCGTGCGCCTGATGGTAAGCTACACGCCTGTCCATAACAGTTGCAGTGCCACTCAGAGCTTTAAATCGCAAAGATCAGATCAGCGGCAGTGCCCCTACCGCTGCGCCCATCACCCTGAGATATAAGTTGACAAGTCCCATGGCCTGTTTCATAACCGGAACATAGTCATGCTGACATTACTGCTTGGCGGCAGAAATAGGTAACGTGGTAGTACTACCCTGGACGGACTCTTTCACAAGGACCTCTACTGCTACTTAAAATGTCTTTTATATTTATTTAATAAGGTACATCCACAGAATACGTATTATGCATACCTAAAAACTGCCGTACCTATTTCTGCCACCAAGCAGTAATGTGAGCATTACAGCGTTCCGGTTTTGAAGGATAAGGGTACTGGTGAAATTACAAGCACGTGGGACTTATCAACTTATGTCTCAGGGTGACGGGCTTTACCGGATTTAAATGCCTCCGTGGTCGAATGAAACCGGGGGAAATATTTATATGGCCTAAATTTTTTTCTCTCGTGAGTTTGCTTAAAATTTGTGGTTGTCTACGTGTGTGTCCATGGCACCCGTGGCACAGGGTTTACCTGGCGCTGGGCTATGCAAGTGTGCGTTAGGAAAAAGCTCTGAGTAACACTGCAACTGCTATAAAAATGCGTGTCTCTTACCATCTCGTGCATGACTTGTTAGTGTCGTCACTTGGTACTGTACAAAAGATGCAAAGTTATTTTGAATGTGCTATTAGAGAGGACGTATCTACATGGCGTCAAATAGGCTTGAATGGTAACCTAATGGAATCTTACAGTTTTGTACAGTTATTTATTAGCATAAAAAAAAAACCAGAAAACTTACGTCTCGAAACAGTAAAATTAGAGCGTTGTTTCAAATATACAAAATGTAAACTATTTATTTCTTTACACACTGTCGCGTCCAGCCTCCATGGATGACCAGACTGACAGGCCACAAAGACAGACTTACTAGACTGACAGGAATTCAAAATTAGACCGACTTTCTTTTGGACAAAAGACGAAGACCGACCTTCCTTTCTTTGACATAGAACGACGAGGACAGTCCTGACTAAACCTCCGAGGCGAGCAGACCACCTCTCCTGATCCACAGGATTATAAAAAATCGTACGATCATTATGCAATCAATTCCATCACACGTAGGTATATTAGGTAACGAGGAGGCGAATAAACTTGCTAACGAAGCTATATCTGATGGTGTGAGCATGTTTTGTAAAACCGACTGCTACTAACTTATTATTCCTCGAGCCAGAGATATTTGTCTAAATATAAAGACTACGAGAAAATTTCACTAGCAAGAGGCATTTGGTATAGGTTTAACGGTGCGGGTCTCTCAAGGGAATCTCTTGTTTCCGTATTTAGAATGAGATCTGGTCACATTCCACTAACTAAGTTTTTCAACCCTATGCGATTACTGCAAAAGAATAGAAGACCTGATACATCTGCTAGTGGAGTGTGACCACACTAGTGTACGTAGAGTACGATTTGGGTTTGAGGGAATTGGACGTAATGGAGACATGAATATTTTTCTGGGAAACCCCTTACAGAAAAGTGCTAAAAAGATTTATACTTACGTAACCTATTGCATCAAATGCCCCTAACTGACCACGCAATTTGAGATCCCCTATGAGGCATAAACACAATGTAGTACAGTGTTAAAGGCCTTGTTAAAAATTAGAAAAATAATTGTACAAAAGGTAAGGGTTCTTGTGAAATTACAGGCACATGGGACTTCTCAACTCATATCTCAGGGTGACGCAGTGGCAGTGCCCCTAAGATCTTTGCAATTTAAAGCTGTGAGAACAAAACGACATCAATAACTTAAAAAAAACAGAAATAATTTTAACATTAAACGATACATTTAATATGAAAAAACCAAAACAAAAGAAAGTCGGTCTAATTTCGAGCTCCTGTCAGTCTAGTAAGTTTGTCTTTGTGGCCTATCAGTCTGGTCATCGATGTAGGTTGGACGCTGCTTACCGATGGAGGCTAGACGCGACACACATCAACACGTTTTTGTCATCGTCAAGTGCTTGTTTCTTTTTCTTTGCAAATAATTTTAATATCGAGTTCTTAGGTTCTATTATATTGGACAAACGAAGCGAAGTATTTGTACCCGCGTCAAAGAACATATAGCTGATGTCAACCACCGTCGCGTAAACAAGTCTGCAGTCTGCGAGCATGTCTTGGATAAACCTACACATTCAATGAAGTTTGACAAATCCCAGGACCTTGCAAAAGAAGTCCGTTATCTAACCATGATGCTGCGAGAGGCCATTGAAATTAAAAACCATCCTAATTTCAACAGGGAAGATGATTGGCCGTACCACCTGTTTGGGATCCATTATTTCCTCTGATGAAAAATCCCAAACAGACATAAGACTGCAGTACTAATTAATATGTTTTAGTTTATTCTAATTTCTGTTGTTATATAATAAAAAAACATCCCATAAAATAATTTGTAGCGTAAACTGGAATGTTTTTTTGTAAAATTAAAAATAAGGTATTTAATTAATAACTATTGTAAGTATAGTGAAAAAATAGGGTGGTTTGCATTAATATTAGACATAACTGGTTGAAGACTGTACCACCTCAGTCAACCGTGACCATGGGACCTGTAAAGGGCCCGAAATGTCCGTTCGTTTGAAAAAAAACAAATATACGCGATTTAAATCCGGAAAAATAGTTTCATTTCCTAATAATTTTAATATTTTCTATTACAGATAACGATGGTCTTCAGAGAAGAACACTCGAAAGCTGATACCAAGGTAAATAATAATGTAATGTGGATTAAGTGTCAACACTACCTCAGAAATGTATATACTATACGCAGAACACGTATTTAGTTCAGTAGATATATTAAAAAAATCATTGGTACAAGTAAAGTATGTATTGAATACAGCTGAAAGGGTTGTAACCCTAACTAGCCATGAACATGTTCACGGCAATGAAACGGGAAACTTCCGGTCCACAAAATTTATTAAAGAAGTAAAGTTAAAAGAAAGGGCTGAAATATAAAGTTAATGTAAAAAAAAAACAGGTACAACCATTGACTTACAATTATACGGACGTCGGGTCCGCGCTAAAAAGTGTCCGAACTTATAGAGCATTAAAATCGTATACAGAGCGTCATTCACGCTTTAGTCTTCGTTTGTTCGACTGACAGCGAAGCAAGCAAAATTAGACAGTACTGCGATGACATTACAATTTAAATTCAACGTTTTAGCTTTTTCATATTCCTTTACATGTCACTACGTTTAAATAGGTTGACTTGGGACATTTTTTTCGTGGTTTTTGTATTAGACCCGTTGTCCATTTATTTGTAAGTCAATGGGTACAACAGTAAAAAACACTCCCTACACTTTATTAAAGGCACTTACCCCTAAATGGGCCGAGTAACTGAATTACAGATATAGGTACATGACGGTTCTAGGCTGTTATGAATTATTACACATGATTTAGCTTATTTAATGATTATAAACGTAGTAAAGAACCAAAATTAGCGGTTATTCGCGATGGAATTTGAAACAGCTCCGACTGTTGTGGCGGTCTAGCTGGGAGTGGCCGTGGTACGAAAACAAAATGAGAAAGTGAAGGAAGATGGAACAATTCAAATTTAAAATTTAAATACATGTAAAATAATAAAATGATAGGATACAAGCGAAGAGAGGCGATACAAAAAGGTGAGATGACGGTGTAAGGAGGTCACACCGTCACACAGCGGTTTTGTAGTAAAATTTTAAAGTTAGTTTTTATTTTTCTATCGCACAAATATTTAAGAATCGTGTTTTCACATCGTATATTAATTACTCAAAACTCAAAACTCAAAATAATCTTTATTTCATAGGTAAGCATTATTACACTTGTACTGTATTATTATATTCTGGATTTTACTATATATTTTTCCAAATTGAATAGTTCAACACTTTCACTGTTACGCAGAATCAACCAAAACCATTTGAGGTTCTCAACTCTTAATAGAATGAAATTGATTATTATATTGACTTTTGGGAATCGATTTCGATGATCCTTTTTTGTTGGAAACCTCAGTATTGGTCCCATTTAAATGTGAAGAAAATATTCCGCCTTTAAGGGTCGCAAACTAGGAGATGAATCCGGTGTCGCGCACTTTCAGGTAACGGATTTCCACGGATTTTTGGGTTCGGTTTTTTTTTATAAAAATAACATTGACTTACAATTATATGGACGTCGGGTCCGCGCTAAAAAGTGTCCGAACTTATAGGGCGTTAAAATCGTATACAGAGCGTCATTCACGCTTTAGTCTTCGTTTGTTCGACTGACAGCGAAGCAAGCAAAATTAGACAGTACTGCGATGACATTACAATTTAAATTCAACGTTTTAGCTTTTTCATATTCCTTTACATGTCACTACGTTTAAATAGGTTGACTTGGAGCATTTTTTTCGTGGTTTTTGTATTAGACCCGTCGTCCATTTATTTGTAAGTCAATGAAAAATAATATAATTATTTTCAAATTTAACCTAAAATTATAAGTAAGATTTACAAAAATACACTGCATTATTTCGGAGATTTAACTAACGTTCAACTAAATGTGCTGGTGAGTGTAGTTTATAATGAGCTTAAAGACAGGAAATTTCTATATAAGATATAGGTATTCAGTTTTTAAAAACAACGAAACATCTTCAATTACGTAACCTTATGAATAATATTTTATTCCTTTTTCATGTATAATCTATTCATCCGCCATATTGTCTAAACATCAAACACCGAAATGTGTAATGAACCCTCGTTGGAGTACATTTCTATAGATCAAACGTATTTTCCATTTGAAAGAATAACGTAAAAGAATAATTCAATACTTAAATTCAAAGATACTGTATTCTCTTTAAGACAAATTGATGTAAACATAAAAAAAACCTTAATATCGAATTAACAATATTCCAGTCCAAGCTACATTATGACAATAACTTGAGAGTAAAATGATTGACTTACAATTATATGGACGTCGGGTCTGCGCTAAAAAGTGTCCGAACTTAAAGGCCGTTAAAATCGTATACAGAGGTCATTCACGGTCTAGTCTTCGTTTGTTCAACTGACAGCGAAGCAAGCAAAATTAGACAGTACTCCGATGACATTACAATTTAAATTCAACGTTTTAGCTTTTCCATATTCCTTGACATGTCACTACGTTTAAATAGGTTGACTTGGGACATTTTTTTCGTGGTTTTTGTATTAGACCCGTCGTCCATTTATTTGTAAGTCAATGAGTAAAATAGAGGAAAAAAAAAAGTAAAATAAAATCCTGAAATTTCTATGTCATTAATTCATTATCCCTACTCAACATCAACTGATATGATTTACAAAAAAAAAAACAAAAATCATGACCAATGGTTAGCTGGAAGAAATCCCTTTATGGGATAAGCTCGCCTTTGTACAATAACGTTCTATTTCCTTGTTAAATATTTGTAATTTGTTTGTGTTGTAGAATAAAATGTCATATGTACATACATTTAACAATTACACTACATGCATTTTTATTCGTAATTTTTTTTTTATGATACTAAGAAAGGGACGAACAAAACGTGCGCCTAGTGCGACCGCAGAGCATCATTTAATCATGCCCATAATTAAAACTAATTACGACAAAAGGTTGATAAATTATGATGGAGTGTAAATATTTTAAGCCGCCTTTTCACTATACGAGAACTTTCACAAGAGAAACAAGTGTAGGCCATAAATTCAGGAACGACTGAAAATCAGCGTCTGTTTCGACCGAGATAGACATGTTGCTGAGTCGTATCCTTTCCCTCGCTTGAGCCACTACGCACACTTACTAAATTAAATTAATAAGTCACTTGTTGCTTTCTTTGTAGTTGTAATTTTGGATATAAGTGTGTGTAGTGTTTCAATTCAGTGAATAAACTTCTTTCTTTCTTTCTTTCTTATAAATAAATGTGGGTCATACAAAAATTTGTTTTTAATCTCAGTATAAAGTACTAAAATACCGACTCAACAGTCATTCACAAATTTGCCACCCTGAGAGGTGGAATGGTTTCTTCAAATTTAAATGGGACCACTACTAAGGTACCTTCTTTCCAACAAAAAAAGAATCATCAAAATCTGTTCATAGATGCCGATGGGTTATCGCGTAACACGCATACAAAAAACCTTTTTCTGAAGTCGGTTAAAATGAGTGTGACTGGATTTTCAAAAGTATGATGAGTTGTGGAATAAATTTTTTAAAATAAGTTTTTATCTTTTGTAGAAAAAGGGACCAAAGGATGTCAAACAAAATGTATCACAACATACAATGCAAACGTCGATACTACAAAAAGAGGAGGCGAGGGAATGGGTGCAATTTTTGCCGGTAATAATGTTTTACACTTTATTCGGTAGGTAACGGACGAAATCCGCCATCGCAAAGTACGTGGAACTGTTACCACAATTACATCATTACGGTGGATTTTCAAGTAATCCTTGATACAGTGCTCAATTGACTGTGTTATACCAATAAAGCTCAAAATTATGCAGCTACGATATTATTTTTTACATTCCACAAATTCCTCTAAAACAATTGAAAAGTGCATCTTTCGTTGATTATGGTAGAGTTGATTCTTAATACACACAAAATTGCCAATGGTTTTTCTGACGATGGCTTGCTAAGGATGCTACTGTTCAGGGTGCCGACTCGGTCTGTGCGTAATCAACGACTATTCAGTATACCCATTTCAAAAAACAATGTATCACAAAATAATCCTCTATATAGGATGTGTGGGACTGTGGGTATTATAATGAAATATGTACTAATTGTGATATGTTTAACTGCAGTGTCCCAGCATTTAAGAGGTCACTGCTAGCATTAATGTAAAGTGAATAGCATATTCTCATTCTCTCTATTTTTTATTTCTCTCGATTTTTTTTTATGATTGATTTAGTGTCTGTTTAAGTATATCTAAATGTTTTAAAATGAATGTTGAGCACAGTAATAATTGGGCAGTTGTATTATTTTTAAGTGTTTTTATTTTCCTCACTTTCTGTATCTGATGTCTGAACATTGTGCCATAAATAAAAAATAAAAATAAAATAAATGTTATTGTTGTAAGTTTAGAAAACTCAATGCACTCAGGTTATTTTGCTACTACGTACTACCTACACCCATACGTAGGATAGTGAAATGTGCACACGCCAGCACATCAAGCTACACATTGACGTATCTTGTTCCGTTGCAATAGAGGCGATCTTCGAACAAATATGTGTAGTCTGATGTGCCGTTGTCCGTACATGATTATTTTCCAGCTACAAGAATTGTCAAGATATATCAATATTCTATACTATCCTAGTCAATTCGAATACACCTCAGCAGCCAGTAGCCCTCCACAAAGATTGCATAAGGTGCCAAATAAAAATTTAGATATACAAGCTCCCAAAGCGTCTCCTCTGTACTTCTCCATCGATGGTCCTGACGATAACTACTTGAAAATATCATTATCAGTTCTTCATCCACGTATACTCTTAAACTGTGGGGTACCGATTGAAGACTTCATTGAAAAAGCACATGTGTTGCTAGAAGTTTTTGAGTGGTTACGGAATACAGAAATCCCTTTGGCAAAAGCATATATACAAACGAGAGGTTACGATGCAGTCGAAGTCTGCTTCAAGCCTGGAAGACACTTTTGCAGGTACATATATTTTTCCTTTTTGGGATAGTTTTATGTAACCGTTACAAGTAGGTATCCACTGAGTTCATCATGCTTCTTTCAGGCTCTGGGTTCATTCTCGTACTAATTGGCATGTAGCTATGCTCAGTAGTTCAGTAATACTCTTGGGCACACGTGACGTAATTCAGATGTCTGCAGCTAAAGAATGCCCTTGGGTGTCCAGGTTCTTGAACAACTTGGGCGTATCTTTTAATATTTGGATGCGATCCGACAAACCTGTAAACATGCTCCTAGCTGATAAGGATTTTTACCAGTAAGTTCACCTTTTTTGTTCATGGATTGGAAAACGCAGTATTTTTAAGTCCAATCATGTTGAGAATTTTTATTTGTTCTGTGTAGATCTTACCAACCTGACCTGTATTGGGACAAAGAAGTAGTAGGCTACAACAAAGCACTTCTCCATTGGATGTTCAGACAAGCCCTACAATCTCACCTACTAAGGAGACTTCAGCCTTTAGAGTTCGATCTCGTCTGTAATTTTCTGAGAAAGTTATTCAAAGATCCAGACTTCGGATTTCCCCCAAAACCGAAACCTTCAAGGGATTTGCGAGAAATTATCTCTAAAGATCCTTGTGACTGTATTATACCTGTATCTGAGCAACTAGGGGAGGAAGAACAGCATTCATCACAACATGATCTAGACGTAATTGATTATACATTTTGTTTCTGTTTATTAAACAATGTAAAAATAAAACACCATTGAAAAGGGAACAAATCACTCAGTATTTATAAGAACTTACTTACTTACTTACTTTACTCAGATTTGTAATGGTTTGATTTAAACTTTCTTTAATAACATGTATAAATATGGCTGTTCTCTTTAACTAAAATTATCGACCCTCAAAAGTATGTAGTACGGTTTACTTGCTTCATCTGTCTTATTTTTCACAGGAAAGATCCGAGCATACAGAACATACAGTAACAGCTGAAGAGAAATTGTCACCTGTTGACGACGCCATATTGTCTGAACTATTAAATCCGACATCCAATGTCTGCGAGCTGGCAGCGGAAGAGATACCATGTGGTGTATTAAAAGAGGAAAGGGCGAAATTGATAAGAAAATATGAAGCTGCTACGCTTCTACAAGCCTCCTGGAGAGGCAGATGGGCTCGAAAATGTTTGACTACACCTGTAGCGGTAACGTCAGACGTATATAAGGTGGTACGTGATGGACACAAGCCTTTATTTATAAAAAAAATAACATATAATAAATTTCATGTAAAAATTGAAATTGCCAATTTCCTCAAATGTTGCTATGAGGTGTTTTCCTTTGAATGGCTGATTAAATAGATTTATATAACTCATAATATGTTACAAAATAAATCTGTTTTCTTTTATTCCTCGGACGAGCTTTGATCTCTGAAGGACAGGTGAATTATCTCACTGTTCTATAAAGGATTTATATATTCATGTAAACAATACACCGTTACAGCGGTAACCGACTTTATTCTAAATTGACTTACTCCTAGTATGACCTCCTTTTCTTTATTCATTCCTCGTCATATTAACCTTAAATCCCTTCTTCTTTATGTTTATGGCCTCTTTATTAACAGTTTGTGTGTTTTTCTATGCTCTAATAATATAATGCTTTAGTTAGTTGTTTGTCCATGATTGCTTTTTAACTTCAGGTATTATCACCACAACAGCATTCCATCGAAGAGATTCATTTAAAAATAAACACCTTGCTGCTAACTAAACGTTGGCATTTTTGATCAATATTACCTGACAACGTTCATTAAAACTGACACTGGTCCAAGCCTAGTGGCCACCATTAAGAAAATAATAATAATAATAATAATAATGTGACTTTATTTCAGCTAAACGATCATGCCTTCGGCAATTTAGAAGCCCTCTCAGCATTGATGAACGAATTCTTCGGCATGTATCCTGGAGCCAGATATGCCTATTCTACATCATCAGCCTTGAGCGGTTCCTATGGCATACATCAATACACAGGCGTTGCCCTTATGACGGCAAAATGCATATGGGTTCCATATTTCCAAGGCGTCTTTTACTGTCACGCATATGTTAAAGTACATTTCGATGTCTTGAGTTCATTAGAACATAGTCTTGTCATAGTTTACGATAATGATAACGGAGAACAATTGCCTCAAGCTTACAATGCTCATGTAACTTTTGAATTTGAACCAAATGCATATGGGTAAGTTGATGTTTTGTTGTTGATTGACCAAATGTACAATCTGCCGACTAGTGCATCTCTGTATGTCTGTGGTTGTCGACAAACTGTACAGAAATTAACTTAATATGGTAGAGCAAGAAGAACCCTAGCGCTATTAGGTGTATGTATGCCTATAACCCTAAATACCCTGATAAGCCCTAGCTGAAGTAAAACAAACTAGCGATTTCGACAGCTGAAACTTTCGTATTTTTTTAATCGCGTTCATTGCAGATGTGAGCCGTTTCGATAACTTACTTATTTGTACCGTTGTTACTGGCAAGTAACATATCAAAAATATACAACAAAATACAATTCTATAATTCCGAAACTTTAGGTCTATTACCTACTTTGTTTATTACATAGGTACTTAAATTTGTGGTAAATGTACTCTTCCTATTCCAATATGCAGATATGAATGCCGATACAGTCCATTAGAGTTATTTTCCAGTTCAATTATTCAATGTTAATACGTTGGCAAGTTATAGTATTTTGATCCTGATCCTCTGGTCCCTTTATTTGGGTCAGAACTGTTTGTCTTTGCTAGTTTTATTACAGTTGAAATGTCTATGGGTATATTATATTAGTTTAGGACTGGGGACTTATGTAAACGTCAATATCTTTTGCTAGTTTTTAATATTAGATGAAGTTTTTTTTAAAGCATGCAAGGTTGCTACTAGACAGACTACATGCACAGAGCCGATGTTTAGGATTATTTGTAACATACTAGTAACCTAGCGGGATTGTATTACTAACATCATAAACAACAACTTTTGTTCCCTGACTTTTAACAATTCATAAAATTTTACTTTCGTACAAAAATTAAAATATTTAAATAGATCGTTCTAAACTGTGATAACTGTGTGCATAACGCAGGAGCGCAGGTGGGAGTCATCGAGGAAGATACATAAAATGTTAACCAAAAACAAATAATTACGTAAACAAACTATATAAAGGTACTCGTCCAATGAGATTGGCATCCCACCCTCCCAAAGGTCCACCCTAAGTGTCGTGAAATACTAATCTTGTCACTAACTGAGAACAGGTAGCTAGGTAGGTAGACCGGTGCCACCTGGTTAAAGAAACAGAATAGAGGCAAAGTTTCATACAACCGCGCTATAATAGGTACACATTTGTTTTTCTTTTTATGATACCTAATGACGGGACGTGGTAACCGGTACACCTTTCCATAGCAGTTGCTTTGCCATTCGAAACTTCAATCAAAACAAAAAGATCAGAAGGCAGTGCTACTGCGCCTGTCACCCTAACAAGTCCCATATGCCTGTAGTTTCACCAAATGAACTTGGTTACATTTAAAATGTACCTACCATAACGCAGACGCATAAGAAATGATTGCGGAATAACTAAAGAAATTGGTAAAAAAACATGTTCTGTTATAGTTATAGGTACATAATTAAATGAGCCCCCCGACGATACGAGTAGCCATAACGAAAGGAGTCGGTCTCGCGTTGCGGCGCATGGTTAAGTTTTTTTGAAGCGGTTACCGTCGCCTATGAACGCCTGCAACACCAGGGGCATCACGAGCGCGTTGCCGACCCTTTAGAACCCTTGTCAAACCCCTTTTGAAGGACTCTTTTTTTTACGAGGGCAATCTTTATAGACACCCCTGAGCCCAGGGAGACAAGGGGTTATGTGGGGACTCTCCCTCCAGACTGTAATGGATGGAAATCTGCCGGTGGCGAGCGGTGCAATGATAAAATGTTGCCGTTGGCATCACGTCAAACACTTCTTCAGAACATTGGCCATTGTACAAGCGATAGAACAGGCATAGGGAGGCAAAGTCTCTCCTCCAAGACAGTGGTTCAATATCGTCTGCAAGCACAGAATCGTCAACAGTTCTCATAGCACGTCTTTGAGCCGCGTCAAAGGCCCGCGTCAAAGCTGGCATCCAGGAGCTCCCGCTTAAAGGTGGCAGCAGTATTCCATGTGGGGACGGACTTGTGACTTATAAAGTAGCGGTCTCTGCTCCGAAGTGAAATACCGCTTAGCCCTGTTGAGCACACCAAGCTTTTTGGACGCCAGCTTGACTTTGCTATCTAAGTGACTATTTAATGGCTTTCCGAAATATTGAATGACTTATTCTGGAACTGAAGATCTGCAGAAGAATATTCATTGAGAAGGTTTACATTACGGGGTGTGCTTTTTACAAATTGTGAGAGCTTGTACTCGTAATAGAGTCTCCATATGGCCTGTGGACGCTTCGGGCTTCGACCGCCGCAGAATCTCTGTCACCGGCCTTGCTACTTTTGATATGACTTTAAAAAACGAAAAGAGAATTTAATGCAGATCGTATTTAAAAATTGGAAAAATATATTTTGTTCACAAATTATTTATTATCAGGCAATCCTAGAAATCTTTTCATGCTATTTTTCCATTCCGAGCAAAGCACGTCTCCACTCCAAATTATAATTGAAGACAATACTTTACACGTTCTTTAGAAGCTTTGTCTTTGTCTCTTGTCTTGGTCTCTTTTTCGATTTTATACTCATGTACCGGCGCGCCACAGTCCCTTGTCGATGGTAGAGACAGATGTGGTTTATTGTTTTGCTACCCCGTACTTATGCGTTACTACAAGTGCTACGGTAATCTCTTCAGACGAATACCTTCGCATAATTATGATTGATCTTCACGTTCAGTTGTTTAATGTTTTTCTTATTACAAATAATAATAATAATAAGGTAGACGATGGAGCATGCATACCTAAATAATGGCAATTTATTGTCGCCTTGAAAAGGCTCGAGTTATAGCGTTCAGGGATAAGTCTGCAGGCGGGAAAATTACAACCCTTCTGGGATGCATGTCTAGGATTAACCTAATAGCGATACCAAATCCATAAGGCATTGACCAAGTTTTCCAGTCCATTGCTATTAACAGTCTTTTTTTGTAACTTTCTTACAGTTATACAGTAATGGGTTATGGCTCCGTAAACAAACCAACAGGAGTTTTCCATGAAGTTCAATGGCAACTCACAGTAATGGCTTCCATAGATCACGTATTCCATACCTGTGACAACGACCCTGACCTCTGTACTACACTACCTTTGCCTGGTGCCAGCAAATTGCATATAGACGAGTTTTATATACCAAATAGAAGGAATATTTTAGGAGGAATTCAGATCGCGGTCAGTAAGGTTGAAGCGGTCAGTTTCCGAGCATCTGCTACTAAAACTGATGTGAGTAATTTGTCGAAAACGTAAGTTTACTTGCGATATTTTATATAAAATAACTGGTATAAAATGACACAAGATATTTTTTTGAGGGAAGGTGGAAGTCCTTATAGATATCATAAGTCTGGAAACAGATTGTACGCCCGACTTCACTAATAACTATACCGAGACACGTTAGCCCAATGGTCTGACCTACCGCCTCTCAAGCAAAGGCCGTGGGTTTGAATTGAGGATCGCACCTCTGAGTTTTCTTGGAATTTATGTGCGGAATTTAATTTGAAATTTACTATGAGCTTTTCGCTGAAGGAAAACATAGTGATGAAACCTGCACATCGAAGAAAGTTCATATCACAACCCTCGGAAAACCTATGAAATCCCCAACCCGCATTGGGCCAGTGTGGCTGACTATGGCCCAAGCCGTCGCCACGCTTCGCCTCGCCTCACCTGAGAGGAGATCTGTGCCAAGCAGTGGAACGTAAATAGGTTGATGATCATGATGATGATCTAATATACTTTGTCATACTAAATAAATATCCCGAGGCAGACCAGTCTCCTCAAGCGTCACTCGTTAACGAGTTGACGCGTGATTTAAGAGGTGAGAAGACACAAGACGTTACGGGTAAGGCTTGTGACATGTCTAATATCTACAAGTAATAGGTTATTGGTATTTCTCTTGTCCACGCATCCACCATACGCACGGTCGACTACAGACTAACCCACTCTCCGTCCGTTCCGTGAAGTATGCGTCTGTGACATGTCCTGCAATATGCAACGTCTTTTGAGATGCCACATCTACAGAAGATTGGTGTTGTATTTCATTAAAGATAAATTTTGGTTTCTATCAGCTGGAAATCGAAGCAGTATTGCGATCAAAGACAAAGGGAGGGGTTATGGAAGAGCTCGCGAGATGTAAAGGCAAAGGTGACATTTTCTGGCCTTACATTCGGCTGAAGCCACACGATAATAATCATAGCAGTTTACAGCTATTAAGCAAGAAGTCTTATTCGCAGAACAATTTGCACGGATCTGCGGTAAGATATAATATTTAGGCCACAAAGTCATTCAATAACGTTTAGTGGGGCGTTCAAAGTTTGCACGTACATCTTGTGTGGAATGTATTCTAACACAAGACGCACGTTTGCGCGCAATGTACGCGCAAACCTTAAACGCAGAATCGTTCCAAATTTTCGGCCTCAATTTTTTGGGAGATCACAAAAACATAACTTCTATTTCAGTAAAGTTTTAGATTTGTCGTTAGACAAGCTCAGGTAATAATAAAAGTAACCTGTTTTATTAATAGATACTCTCCAGCCCAAAGGGCAAAGCGAAAAAACCTAACAGCGCTGGTCTTAAATCCAAATCAATCACAAAGGTATGATTTTAAACTCAAATTAATCAAGTCGCAATTAAAGTAAATAATAATATAATTATTCATTAAATTGTTATCAGTAATTACAGGTTTTTTACCACGGTATGATTGTTTTATTCGTGAAGTGAATATTTGATAATCTCAGTACAGAGTACTAAAAAAACCGACCTCAGAAGTACGTGGCATTACATATAATTACCAAATTTTATTGAAATCGGTTACCGAAAAGTGGACATACCCGGATTCATACCCTAGTTCGCCACTATACGGGACTTGACATAGGAGATAATAAAAATCGGTTCTCACTACTCAAAGAATATTGAGAGAGAAAAACGCCTTGAATTTGAGAATAGCAAAATCAACCATTAAATTAATTTCTCCTTATAATAACATTTAGGCGTTATTTATAAAAATGAGCCTTCATGCGTAAACAGCCACCCTTAGAGGTGGATGATTTTCTTCAAAATTAAATGGGACCACTATGGAGGTACCCTCTTTCCAACAAAAAAAATCATGAAAATCGGTTCACAAATACCGAAGTTATCGCGTAATATACATTAAAAAAAACATACAGTCGAATTGAGAACCTCCTACTTTCTTTTCGGAGTCGGTTAAAAAGTGAGTGACAATGGTGACGCCACAGGTAATCGAGATGAAGGTATTGATCGACAGCTAAAGAGGGTATTTAGATACGTCCGTTCTTAAAGCTGTCATCTGCCGCAGGCCAGTCAACCCTAAACGTTAAGAAATTAAACCAGAAATCATACCAAAGTAAGAAACCTGTAATTAGTTGTAACCATTACATAAATCAAGGTTTGATTTATTTATAATTTCAGTTAAATATTAAACCCGCTGATCCAAAAGTTTACACAATTGAGTAAGTATTATTACAATTATGTTTGGGTATATTACGGCAACGCGCAGGACATCGGCCGTTCGTTGTCATACGTAGACCCGCTGGTTTGCGCGCTGTGATGGGGTGATAAAGCTGGAAGGGGTTGTCACGCACTGCTCGCACTGCTTAAGCATATCCTGTAGATAGTAATGTAGCCTCCGCAGCCTGCACACATCTTGCTTAGCGAGTTTAAAATTCAAAATTCAAAAAGAAAAAGAAATTGTGGAAATTAATCCGGTTTTAAGAAATATTTGAAAGTTTTTTGTGATCTTTTAAACGTTTATCGCACAATAGATTTTTGGTAACTGGTAAATGGGTCAAACCATACAACAACCTTAAACGCACTTTCTAACACTACCGAGTTGCCCCTCGGTATAAGACCGTAACTGAGCACGGACGAAACGTAGTTATAAGATATAATGATAAGTGATAAGCCGTCAACGTAGCTTCTTAGACTTTTAGGCATGCAGTCTGTAAACAAGCTCTACTAGTAAGACGACTAATGCTCTGCGTGTTCAATATAATAATGGACTTAGGATGTTGTTGGGACGACCACGTTTTTGTAGCGCTTCAGGCATGTTCGAAGAGCACATATTGACAGCATAAATACGCAACATTTCAAACAGCGTGACAGTTCCAACAGCCTTGTGCGATTGATTTGGGGATACTCTGCCTGCGATATGTGGAAGCACTAAAACACATGGGTACCAGAGGCCCAATTTATAATGTAATTTAATTTATAATTGAATTTGATGTATGAAATGTATCTTGATAATTTGTATTGTAATCGCCTAATTTGCGTGTGGTGGGTGCAGAGTCTTACTCGTGCCACTCAAGCTACTCCAGGAAGCTTAGCAATCTCTTCGGTTTGCTGACGAGATCGGGGAGCGACCTCGGAACCTGAAGGTACTTCACCCTGTAGTAGGTCACGCCGGAGCACTGTTGTATGATGTGCGTAGCCATTTTCTCCCTCTCCATACACGCTTTGCATAGAGGGCTGTCTATGATACCTAAATTGAAAAGGTGTAAGTTAGAGTGCGAAGCTCTTGTGTTTTAAGTTTGATTAATCTTCGAGATCATCGAGTATATAACCAGGAATAGAGACGAAATGTCATTTAATTTGTTTGAAAACTATTCTGCCATATCATTACTGTGACAACTGCGCTCCTATTGGCTAACCCGAGTTCGAAACAATTGACGGGTGTCGTCAATTGTTTCACTTCAAATCGACCAGTTAACTTGAGCTTTGCTTTAATGGACGAAAATTGCAAAATTACGTATTTAATATTTAATTACCGATGAAATTTGATTCCGTTTGTTTTGTAATTAGATGTTTTGCTGTTATTCCCACAACACCGAATATTACACCACGGCATTGTTAGAGATATTATCTTTATTACAATAAATACAGAATATTTTTTGGTATATACGGAGACGTACACACAGGCCAGAAGTTGGCCTGTCTATATTTCAGTGCAAACGACAGTTAATATTTATAAGAGCTATATCGCTAATGTGTTACCAGGAATACATGGCCCTTAATTCGTCTCTATTTCTGGTTATATACTCGATGTTCGAGATAGACTGGCGTTGAACGGTGGAAGTACTTCTCTGACCTTATTTATAATTTGTACACAGATTTATAATTTGGTTTAATTTTTTATTTAATTCAATTTAATGTTATGATAACTTTCATTACTAATACAGGCTATAAGTTTATTTTTTTCTAACTAACATCTATGGACATGGTCTAAAATAATAAGTTAGATTTGATTTTACTAAGTGATGACAAATTACTTTTTGGGATATTGATCTTTGTGATAAAATGAATATTTGTGTTACTTCCACTTGTCCGACCGTCTAGAAATTTGGTATACTGTAGAAAAACGATAACGTTACAATCATATGGTGACCTTGACCTGATGCTGCAACCTGGATATTCCGCAGACTACCAAACTTTTCAACAACTCACAGCATATTTGGGTTCATGGAATTGTCTCGACTAGAAGTTGATTTACAGATATTGTTTTATTTTTTTATAATTCTAAATGACAAATAAGTCGTGTGTTTGGTGGTAAGGGACACACCTGTCCATAACAGTTGCAATGTCACTCAGAGCTTTAAATCGCAAAGATATGAGAGACGTTGCCAATGCGACTATCTCTCTGTGACATACGTGGACAAGTTCCATGTGCTTTTTGTTTCACGAGCACCCCTACCCTTCAAAACCGAAACGCAATAATGCTTAGTGGCAGAAATCTGCGTAAGGTGGCAGTAGTTCCCCGGACGAACTCTTTCACAAGGAGTTCTACTGCTACTAAATGAACCTACTGCAGTCAAACTGGGGAAGTCCTGTATCTTAAATTGTAGCACCTTTTCCCTTGGTAAATTAACGCCTCCGTGGTCGAACGGTTACCATACTGACCTGCCACGCAGAGATTAGTATTGACGTCCGCGGATCAATTTCACCAGCACTCTTATTCATCAAACCCGGAACGCAGTGAAGCTTCCATTACTGCTACTTCCCCGGCCGAACTCTTTTTTGCTGTATGTCTTTATGTTGTCTTGCATCGGTTTTATTTATATATTTTTATTAATGGGAATGGTGCTTTTGTAAATTTTTACAGAGTCATAGCTACAAAGGGCTGGCCGTTACCACTCTCTCAATGGAAGAGAGTCGATGAAATTCGAAACATGCTGTTGCCACCTAAACCGGAGAATTCACCGAAGAAGCAACCCGGAAAAGAAAAGGTACTTATTTATTTACATGCCAATTTTATAGCTTTTAAATTTGCTTACACAATTATGTATTTTATAGCCAATTGCTACAGGCCTACCACTTAAGTGAGTTGGTTCGTGAGGTAACTGCGCGGTGCGGAACAAGTGACAGTTTACGTAATAGTTATGTCGCGTTGCACACGGGATAATTTCAACGAGATGTATCTGACAATATTCAATAACCAGTTGATGGAAAAAGTGTCAAATGGCTAGTCTTTTCATTTCAATTATCAATGAAACAATTTTTTTTACTAACGTTTCACGTAACAACAGTTGTCTAATTTGGTAGGCACTTTTTCCAATCAGTTTGCTATTGAATATCGTTAGAAAAATTAAATTATTGAAATTATACCGTGTGCAGACATAATATTGTTACGTAAATTGTCACCTCATTACCTCAGGATCCACCTGTGGCAACACCTATGCCTCTACCATGAGTTTACTGTGACAGTTGTCGCTAGCGAACCCGTGAGTAAATTCCGTATCTTTGTATGACAAATTATATGGCGCCCCTAGCGGTCACAAGAAGAAACAACATTTTGCCTACAAACATTTTACGCGGCGCTAGCGATAACTGTCAATGATCAAAAATGTAATCTCATGATAAAGGCACTGGACTCATGCTAGGGAAACTCTGCGAGTCCGGTATGGTAACCGTTCGGCCACGGAGGCAGTTAAGCTTTAAATTGCAAAGATCTAAGGGGCACTACCACTGCGCTTGTCACCCTGAGACCCAAGTTGCCAAGTCCCGTGTGCCTGTAATTTCACCCTGTTGACAGAAAGTAACGAATATTACGAAAAAAATTAATAAATTATAATACATAATAATAACACATTACGCTAAATTCAGTTTCAAATGGAATATGCATTTAAGTAGTACGTGCGTTCGGAAATGCATTTTCCGGTGTTATTAGATTATTTAAAATAATATTAATAGTACGGAATTAACTGGTAAAGTCCACATATTATATTCTTGCGTGAGTGCTATGACGTGTGCGTGAGTATGCGCATGCGTACGAGCTCATGTGCGATGGCGCGCGGGTTTATCAGGCGTGCGGATATACGCGCACTCTCTTGCGATACCTCTCACGTAAGTTATTGTAACACAAAATACTTTTTTTTTTGCTTTTTAACTTAAATAATATCCCTTTTGTATACCCTAAAAGTAAAAAATCGCTTAGTGTTATGTTTACATTCAAACATCGATTCTATAATATACATAAAAAAGGATATATGTAAATTGAAAAGGATACAAATTTGACTTTAAACAACTCGCGTCGTATTGATTTGATTTTTATAAATCCCAGCACCATAAAAGCACGAAACAAATGAGTCTCGATCACGGGATCGCTTCCACGAGTTTGTTACATTATGTTAAACATTTTCAGTGACCAATTACTACAGAGAGTTCAACACACGCAAGGAAAAATAATGGCACTGAAGGCTAGTAGATTACTATCAGATCCGATGTCGCCAAAACTCACACATTCTTAATTTAAACTTTACCTTATTGGCATATCGTTGAAAGTTCAATGTCATCTATTGCAAGTTACGACGTTTTGATATTATATTGAAATTTCAATCAGTGTGCTGTCATCTAGCGGTTAATTGCCGAACGACGACGTATTGGGATTGTTAATTTAGTTCTCCGAACAAGAAGCGACCATATTGCATAGCTTTACTTTCGTTTCCTGTAACAAAAAAGAATATTTAGAATAGAATAGAATAGAATAGAATACATTTATTATATAACACCATAACACAATAATAAAGACAACAACACAGTAAAAAAATAAAAAGTAAAAAAAATAAAAATAAAACAGAACTAAATTAAAACTAAAACAAACTAAATTAAAACAAACAGAAAATGAATAACAAAAAAGAAAACTAAATAAAATTAATTATAAAATAAAATCTTAGCAATAAATAATTATGCGACCACAAAGCTGGTCAACACTATTGTTGTACTAAGTAGATGTCATGTGTGCGGCTGTGGCGTATGTAATAGGATCCACTCAGTCCACTTCGATAAACGGAAAGTTGAAAATTGATTAAAATAAGACTTTTCGATGATATGCCAGCACGTTACCATATTTTTGGTATGGCTATCATTTCTGCACTCCGAAACAGCACAATAAGGCATATTTCCAAGATTTTAGAGGATTTGCACGAAAGAATGACACAACCATACCATACAAAGCGAAAATGACGGACTGAGCTCAGATAGGTCTTAGGGTCGTATTCCAGAACTCTACTCAATACTCAAGTCAGGACTTGAGTATTGCAGTGAGCACTGAAAATCATACTCAAGTCCTTGCCATTAGGATCGTATTTCCAGTGCTCGTGTTTCCAGTGCAATCCTGACTTGAGCATTGAGTAGAGTTCTAGAATACGACCCATAGAGACTGACTTTGAGTTTGACGCTAACTAAATAATTCTACTGTTATTTATTGTTCTCTGGTTCAACCGCTAGCCTGCAAAGGTTGACTTAAATATCAAGGTCAAAAATAAATTTTTCCTTGCCTACATGACCGTCTGATGTGAAAGGGCAGCAAGTGATAACGACAGCGTGTTACACCAGCAATGTGAACGCACATCTGATACATCGCGTAAAGTAATTTAATTAATAAATTATAATTAATAGTTCGGCAAGATTGTCACTGCCATCTGCCGTCTTATCCTTTAGGCCACAAATTCGCAACAGTGGTGCGTTCAGTGGGGCGTACATTGTGTCTAGTTGCAGCATTAGAGAAACTTAAAAGTACCAATTATAATAATAATAATCTTTATTGCCTCTTTACGAGGTTCTTACCTAACTTACCAGCTGACATGTGAACTTTTAATTAAAAGCTTTGGTAAAATTCATATTAGGAACTAACCTGTGTCCAGGCTGAAATCCAGGCTCCCATTTCCGGATATAGCAGTTATTAACCAGTAATAAGTATACTTTATTTATTATAATTGTTAATACAAAGATCGAACACTAAGGAACCATTCCTTCAATCCGGCTGAATCAAACCAACGACTTTCAACAAACCATGGCAGACGCTACATCAACTAAGCCATGGAAATAGCGGATGTGACGAATTTTTCTGTTGCAAACCACTATTTTTGGTTTTTAACGACTTATTTACCGTAGCGCCTTCTGTGAGAAATCTATTTCTTCACTCAGCGGTCAAACATCGTGACATTCAATAAACGTAATATATATACATATATCTACCTAGAATAACTGATTACTAAATATGTCCCTACAAAGTGCATTGTAAAAAGTTTTTTGCGATTTCTGACATTTCGAGTACTCTTACCTCATTTGGTCCCATAGAGACTATTGATCCTTACCAGAGACCGGATCGAATGGCCTAAAAAAAAGTTTTGTACAAATTGCCTTTTATCTTGCTGACTGTGCCATTTTTTGAAAATCTGTGAATGCTAATCAAAATATCTTCAAAATTCATGGGTAGTCTTCTAGAACCGTTTTCCTGTAACTACAACGATTAAGGTAGCTGGCCTTGCTGCCCCGTCTCAAATTTACACCCTGTATATATATAAATTATATAATATCTAATTCATTTAAGACTGAGACGGTACTAATAATGTAGCCACCAGATCCAAGTACAACATGTACAGGATCTCAACGACCTCGTAAAATTAAAGACGATACACGATAGACGACTGTAATATATTGGCAATAGGTTACTGGTTTACAGGAGTAATTGCATTAATCGCTAAACAGTAGTAGTTTCTTTTGGAAGTACATTTCAAAAGTGAACGTCCTTTTTGACCTTCGTTAGTTCATACAAAAAGTTCGTTGATTATATGGTAGGGACGAAACAACATTTAAGTGGTGTGAGTTGATTGGTTCAAAATGGAACCTTGACGAGCATTTAGTCACTGCTTCGAAACTTACATTAACAATAATAACAATGTGCCAGACAGCCACGCCAGGCACCTGGACCTCTACCATAAGATTACAGAGACGGTCGTTGCTAGTGACTTAGTAAAATGTTTGACAATTTTGTATTGCAAATGGAACAACGCCCCTAGCGGACACAAGATTGTCATTTTGTATGCAAATAATTAACACTGTCGCCAGCAACAGCGGTTACTGTAAACTCATAGTAGAGGCACTGGTCTCAAACTAGGAAATTGCATGTACTATGAGCACCAGAGCCACCAAATTCACAACACTATCTTAACAAGAACCAATTTAGAAAGATCCATTTCGCAAATTGGTCCTACCCACCTAATTGGTCCAAACTATGGGATGAGCAAAGTCGGCAATTCGCCCAATGGTTAATTCCGTCTATTCCATCTTTATTTTGTCAGCCCAGCACAGCGAAAGAAAAGAAAGATAAAACGGATGCTAAGTTGAAAGAAAACGTTGATCAAGATATTCCAATAATCACAGTACATCAGCCGCTACCGGATGATCCGTATACGGAGCTGGAGTGCTCGACTTCTGTCGGTGGAGGGGCCTTTTTAAAGAGGGACGATGACAGGGATCTGCTGTTTGCAATTGCAAGAAGATCTTGGGAAGCGAAGCAACCTGGCAGAAATATGAAAGGCGAAGAAATAAGGTCAGTATAGCATAAAATAACAAAAATAAAATTACTTTGTGCGTGATGTTTCCATAGATCTAAATAGACGCCGCAAGTGTACGAACGTTGATATGAGTAGAATAGAAACGTAACGACTAATGGACGACATCTTGGATTGTGAAATTTGACATTTAGTCGTCGAAAGTCTATTGAAAGAACTGTCAAAATTTTAGCAAAATACGTATGACTTGTCGTTTAGAGTCGATTCAAGTTCGATTCATATACCAGACTAGGTTCTAACGACATTTGGATCGAACGACTTTAAAATTGGACTCGTTTACGTTCACTGTCACACGTGAATACGAAAAATAAGTTCGACGACTAAATCTCTACGATATTGTAACGGTTTGATTACGTGAATCACCCCCCTGGTCAGTAAGATTAATACGAAATAAAAAGAGTTAAGATTTGATTAGTGTTTTCTTGATAGGAATAATCAAAGTCCTAAAGAACCTAGCAGTGATATATTTAACTAACAGATTGCAGTAACTATTTTATAGACTATTGATTGAATGTTAATTACGCTTATGCAATAATCAACCGAATTTAGCACTGGTTCATTTGAATTGTCAGTTTGCATAATTTAATACATAATTTCACTACATTTAGAACTATGTCCATTAAAAATACAAAAAGGTATTTTAAAGTTTTTTAGTTTAATATACATTATCAAATCCGCCTGTCTTTATTAAAATGTGAATAAAAATTAGTTTCGATGCTAGCAGGTCAACAGTCAAAATAAGAATAAAGAACGAAATAATGCAATTAGTAATCTAGGACGACGTCGTACGTTTTTTCTTGACACATCTAGTTATTGCCAATCTGTGTAGACTACGCTTGCGCGAACGCACGGTATTATTGCCCATTATGTTATGTTGGTTGAGTCAAAACTACCCACCTCTTAAAAATGTTATATTTGCATTACATAGATTGTTTCCATTTCACGCTTGTCATACGAAATGCTATGTTTATAGCTTTGTAATGTTACTGTATGTAAGTTTCTCATTTAGGTGATATAATTATTTTGAGAAAATACATTTTTGAATCACAACGTCGTAACATTCACAATCCAGACAATTTTTGCAATATTTTACCTTCTTTCATAATCTATCGATAAAACTGTCGACAACAACTACATGACTATACATGACTATATAAAATTTCACAAAAACTGGGAACCCTGCAAATGTCATTTTACTCCGTCTTCGAAAAAGACAGACTAAGTTGGCTTACAGATGGTTACTAGGGCCTGACAATGAAGCAGAAAGATGGATATAAACTTAGAATAATAACTCATAGAAATAGAATGATAGTTTCACATCAAACGACCTGTCACAAGTGAGGCAAAAATCAAATTCATGTAGGCTAGTTTTAGTAGTAGGTTAATTTTCGGTTTTAGTGATTATTTATTCAAAAATACAAGTTGAAACGCGTTACTTACTTGTGGAATGTGATGTTAGTATCTATTTTATGTTTGTCTGACGTATTTTTACACTCATTCACCGCACATTTCGTCATTTTTAGCTAAAATTCTGGAGCTGTTCGCGGTGCAGATTGACCTTGAGCACTGACGGTCCGCCCGCTCGTGTAGGCCCTTTGGGCGCGCTTCAAATTGCCTCACTTAGCGTGTGCGGACTAGGTTTCTATGCGTTATTATTCTAAGGATATAAAGAACTATTCTTTATTAAAGGTAGACCCACCGAGTATGTACTCGTTGGAGATCTCGACGACTGGTAGGATAGATAGATGGTGACTTTTTTTGTTTTTTTTTGTTTGCCGGTTTGAATCGCGGGTTTTCAAAATAATGATTTAAATTTACTTATTTTAAGGACATCCTTTACTTCTGAAACATTACTTAACCTATACTGCACTATCGGTCTATGTTGTGAACAGAACCTTTTTAAAGGTACAACATAAATAAAACATCTCACTTCCGTTATAAAATACCAAATTCCTCGGAACAAGCTCGGAATCTATTGAAGCACCTGCAACATTATGTAACCTATACTGGTAAAGCTATTCAAAATACGCAATCATTGATTATAATAATTAATGTACACACGCCAGCATATCAAGCTACACATTGTCGTATCTTATTCTGTTGCACTGTGCTCTGATGTGCCGTTGTCCGTACATGATGTAAACTAACAAATGTTGCTTTCAGACAAGAATTTCGAGAAGAATTCCTGGCCTCAATGATTCAAACAAAACCTGCGAGCACTCATGCAGTTGGTGAAGTACAGTCAATTTCAAATATTTATATTAGCCATTATCTAAATCATATCATTTAAAAATATCACGAGGCAAACAGTATGTAAGAAATGCTTTACTCTTCCAATTTCATCTTGTCCTCCAATTTGTCGACGTAGTAGTATTTTTTGAGAAAAACTATACACATACATGTATAGATGAATGTTACAAAAGGACCACTTATACTTTAGGATTCCAACTATTATTCCCTAAAGATGCTCAGGCAACACAGCTAGTATGTCTTTGCGGGGAGGCTCGCTATAAATACATATAAGGAATTTATCCCGCATAATAGGTATTCTTCTTAGGATCATACCTCCAAACCTCAAGCAAGTCTCGTTATTTGATCAATATCTCCCATATAATCGAAATTCTTTTTACAACTTCACAGGAAGGCTTCGTAGAAGAGTATCTAGAAGAAGAATCAAGTAAGCATCCTGAAACCTTTGAGAGACCCTCCGCATTAGCGTTTTTCGAGCCTAAACGTTCGCATGGCGGCGACGTAACTCCAGCTGCGTATACCCAACTTTCGGCATTATTCCGCAGGGCGCAGTCGCTCAGTGCTGGCGTTGCGTCGCAGTGACGCTCTGTGATGGTGTGCATGTGGTGTGTGTACGCTGATGGTCGAAAGGCGCTAGTGTGGGGAATCTCTTAGCTTGTCCCGATGGAAATGTTCCCTATTCCATTTAACCTTAACACATTCATCAGATTGAGAAGCCTAGATTACACGCATTTTCCACTTAAGCGGCTAGAACCTCTTCGGAAATCTTTTTTCGGAAATAACGTTTGTTCGAATTTTCATTACACCGAAAACCGAATTATAACGTTTATCGAAAGACTCGATTAAAAGAAAAACATTTTCCTCTCAAAATTACTTTCGAGGTTATGAAAATTTGAGCAAACTTTATTTCTGGAAAATGTCATTTCGAACTATTGACAGGTTAACCCTTTACGGCGTTACATGGCGCTATCTAAAGTAGCGCTTCTTTCCTCGAAAGTAGTTCGTATTTTAAATAATATATTTTGAATACGAAGGAATTAACAAATTGAATAAAGAACGGTATAAATATGGCGAATACTGTAACTTGTGCGAAGAATACAGAAAATATCATGATAAATTTCGTAAATACACGCGAATGACCATATAAACTTTTGATTGTATTTCTCAATACTTAAATGTACATTTGAAACACCATATCAAATCTAGAAGGGTTGTCACCAATGCAGAAAAATTCCGCTCCGAATTATACATATAAAATATTTTGTTTCTGCGACTGCTGTCAGTACCGCTCTGGATTGTGACATCTCCTTCGTTCGCCCGTACAGTTTTTCCCGCCGCACCTAGCCTCTCGCGCCTCTGCTATAAAATGCTTTGCGAAAATCGCGCACAATACATTTTAATATATTCATTCTTGCCGCTCGTCGAGCAGCACTAAGCTGCCGCTGACAGCGGCACGGTCGTGGCCAACTAATTATTTATTCAAATAAGTCATTGTACCGTACCCATTGACACGGCCGCTACTCTGAAGTAAAACTAGCCGATTGCGGTAGTTCGCGGCTAGTCGCTTAGTGTGAAATGGCACTTAACAGCACTTATCCGCTCACGCGATTCATGCGTCTCTGGAAGCATACCACACCTAGAGGTGCCGGTGATGATTTTATACCGATTTATCGGATATCGAAGTTATAACAGGTAAAAGAACTAATACTAATTGCTATTTCGGTACCTACTCTAGCAAACCATAAAGATTTTAATGCCTGGGTCTGTCATTTAAAAAAATAAACAACTTCAAAAATACGTCACGACAATCGTGTGTATTATTGTTTGGGCTGGTGATGTCGGTGTTTATTTATTGAAAACATACCGTAAGTTGCGTTTTTTAAGTTTACCCTGAATATAAATGTTTATAAACTATACTTTAAGGAGTAATTTCATGGCAAACATTAGAACCACTCAAACGGAAAAATCATATTTACCCAAGTACACCAAAAATTTAATTAGTGCTTTTCAAATTGCAGGATTTGCGGTGTGTTACTGCATTTTATTTGAGATGTTTTTGTTGGTAGTACGGAGGGTATTTATTTAGCAATGCAGAATAATAATTTTTATTTTTAAAAACTTGTATTTAAACTGAATCCTTTTCTAATTTGCGAAACCAAATAGCCGCCATTTTGCGGTAGGATGAGCGCATCGCGTGAGCGGTTATAAAAGGACTAATGTAAATACCGGAAACGAAAACACTATACCACGACCACTTGTGGCGACCTATGTCTACCTTACACGAGCAGTGAGCTAAATATCGAAAAAGTAATATGTGTTTATGAAATTATTAGGATTTCTTTGGAAATGAAACTTATTTATTCAAAGAAACCAGCATTTCGGACTCTTTACAGGTTCCATGGTCACGACTGATTGAGATTGTATTAAAAGCATTCTGATTCCAACAGGGAAGATGGTTTCTCCGAACTACCGGATTGTGATCTCGTAATCCCCTTAATGAAAAATCCCAAGCATACATAAGGCTGCTGTAATACTCATTAGTATATTCTATTTCATTTATATTGTCCTTTTAATTAATAAATTTAATTTTGTCAAAAATTCGTAGTGTTCCCATTATGTCGTGACGACAGACAGTCGTGCAGTTTAAAGTGCCCTGGCTTGTATATTTAAATGAAGTTGTTCACACATAGAACAACATGATTAACTGTCGTTCACGTTCATGATGTTTTTGACGTTACGACGACAGACTGTCGTGACAATGGGAAGAGCTATAACGACAGTCGTCTGACGATAAGTATTATCGTCGTTATTTTGTCGTGCAAACGACAAGGCGGCTGCCGTGAACCGATGAATTGTCGTCACAATCATTAGATTCCCACTAGGGAACAGCCTAGACACGACAGTCGTTCAACAATAAATAAACGTCCACGACACAGTCACGGCAGATAGTCGTGATATAGGAACAGGCTAAATGCGACAGTCGTCCAATGATAAACAAAACGTTACGACACAATGGGAACGCGCCCTTAAATAAAATATTTTGCAAATCGTATGTAGCGTAAATTGGAATGTTTTTTGGTAAATTAAAAACAAGGTATTTGAATACTATTATTATTAGGTATTATAATGCCTTTTGTAAGTATAGTTCAGAACAGTGGCCATGACTATGAGACGACAAAGAGTCCAAAACGGTGATTTAAATTACAAATCATACACGATACAGATCCCAGAAAAATTTCATTTAAAAAAAAAAAAAATTTACAGAAGCTGGAACCGTTCAAGGTCCTACACCTGTATCTGATACGATTCGTAAGTACAAATTTTACTGTATAAACATTAGCAAAGGGGTTTTAAAACCTACAACATTTTAGTATTAAGAAAAGGCTTAATTTGTCCCTGTTCTTTTACGCTATTTTTAATTGTATTGTCAGTCCCTTTGAAAGTAGACACCCTATTGTTGTAGATGTAACAGAGGGGATCAGAGGGAATACAGCAGAAATTAGGTTAGGGAATTCATTAGAAAAAATATTATTTGCGGTTGTGTGATAGCGTAAATAACACTGTGATAGCTATGTGGTTTGAAAGAGGACGCAGTGACAAAAATAAAGCAAGTTGAAATGATTTGGACACTTAGAGTGGATGAAAGAGTAATTATGAATATATGTAGAGCCATCGTGAAAGGCAACATTGGAAGAGATCGGCCACGGAAGTCATTCTCAGATATTTCATCTGAACGTTCTGAACGTTATCGAGAACGTTCTTAAAAACGCTGGAATGCACGCCAGTGAGAAGAACAGAAGAGCTTATATGGAAAGTTGATGAATGTAAGTAAAGCAAGAACAACTGCTCAGGATTGTACAGTCAATAGAAAGAATAGGAATCTAAAGGTTTATTGAATCGTAGCTTATTTTTTACCGACCTTTCCGTAGTTCAGCTTTTTGTATGTATGTTGATTTTATAGTACTCGATTGTCCCGAAAACAGGTGGAGCGATTTTATCAAATTTTTTCATACTCTAAAAAAGAAATAAAAAATATAAAATAAAAAACTACTTTCTTTAAGAAGTTTTATGTGATTTTAGTGGAAGAATTAGAAGGAGAAGACGAATTCCTTTACTATACGATGCCTGACCAATTACGAGACAAGTTTGTGTCTCTATGTTTTGTACCTCTATGCACAAAGGAGCTGGTAGAAAGTGAAACGTAAGTATAATGTAGTTTCTAATTGAATATATAATTTTGATTTTATAGAGAGACCGAAAAGTTTGAGAAACACTAGCCAACTATGTAAATATTTTTTTTCCAATATTATACATTACGTCCACTCGCGATAAAGATAATAAATGTTATAAACTGAACCTGGAACCAAAAACAAAGGAGGTTTTTGAAAACTAATTGCATAAAAATGAAATATAGCATATGAAAAATAGCATAATCTGAATTTATAACACCGTTTGTATATAAGACAGTCATCTAAATTAAGCTAGTGTTGCCATTATATTATAATTATTATGGTTCCTGTTGTACAAAATGATATATAGGAGTGCCAGAAATGAATATATGAACGAGTGGCGTAACGGTTTATTTTAAAAAACGCAAACAGGTAAAAATAATCACAACTTATATACAGAGCACGTCTTATATAATTCTTATATTCAAATCATCTCTTTCTCTAAACAGTATTGCCATTTTACAATTATTATGGTAACTATTCTTCTATCCATATTAATTATTAACAATCATAAACAGCACCACCCATTCGTGGCAGATATTGTTTACAAAACAACTCCATCTAGTGGCAGGTTGACGTATTTACCATCTAGTACGTTTATGAGCTTGCAACAAGCGTAAAGTCAGGGCTGCGTCACTCGCTTAAGGTTATGATAAGTGCCTACCGCCGAGTGCGCCGGCGTCGGCACAAGCGCTCATATAAGTCTTTTATTTATGAGCATTCGGCTCCGCGCGACTGCCTACGGCGGGCAACGTTATTTTCATCTCTCTGAACGCGTGTTTAGGTGCTTTTGTCCTCGTAATGAGCGCCTGGTGCCGTTGATCGGATATATATATATATCCGACCTATATATATATATATTCCACCAATAAAGAGTCCTTACCGATGGCAAATGGTGGTAATAACGAAACAAAATTAAGGGAGCAATTTTTTATCTTAATAAAAAGTAGACCATCAGGCCAAATATATTTTCTATACTTTAGGCAATAGTCTGCTTGTTCATCCTATAACAATCTGTTAATCCAATTTCAGTCTCTTACTGGCACCAGAAATGGTAGATGTAGCCAAAGCACAGCGAACCGAGCACCTTGAAGCAGCCTTAGAACGCATGACTGAATTGCAAAATTACAATGACGTTCATGTGTTGGGGGGACAGAAACGCAGGATCATTTTACTGGAAAAACTTCTTGTGGGTAAGTGGTTTGTTATTTTCTTCTTCTTCTTAAACTGCCTATGCAATTAGTGAAGGCAGCTCAGCATAATATGTCCCTATATCGGGCAAGCTTAAACAGTTGGGTTGGGCAGTACTCGCAATTCCAGTACAATCTCGTACGTTCCATAGCCATGTCTACAAACTCCTTTCCTTTTACCAGAGACCTTATAATTATTGTGAGTTGCAGGTGTTTGTGTCTGTTGAGATTAACAATGAGGCATTTGCAAAAGCTTTCGCTTCTATCCAATTAGTCGTAAAACTTCACTATTGGTGACAGATCCACGAGATTTTACATTTTGGTCTATACGCCCACATCACGCGTGTCATTTTGTACATATTCGCTAAGTAAGAATTATTAAATGGATGGGATATTTACACTGCTGCAAAATTAGTGTCCTGTGCCCCTCATTCCGTAGCTTTGACCTTTCAATCAAAATGTAACAAACGTTACATTTCAGTCTTTCCCTGCCTTTAAAAGCATTCTTGAACGATATAATGTGTGGTCTTTCAATAACCACGGGAATCTCCTTCCATAAGGCAACGTATCTGTGACTTATTTGGTGCTGCAGACGACCTTGAACAACGGTGGCTATGTAATACCCGTGTTTATCTATTGTCATACTAACTGGCCATCCACGACTTCGGTCCAACGATTTGGACTGTGGACGCAGGAGGAGGATATCCCGGATTCAATTTCTGGTAGGACCAATTTGGGAAAGAAACTTATCTAAATTGGTTCTGGTGTTGTTCTATTGTTTGTGGGTAGTGCCCTGGAGTGACTTACATTGCTAAATCTCAGCATTTATAGTAGAGGGAATTCCTAGTTTGGAACTCAACAATGTGGTGTGTATTTTTTTATTATTTTAGTTATATAAACATAATAATTTGTTTACGAGAGCACACAGGCAATTTTTTGCATAGAGATCTACGTTGGTATGTATAGTTGAAGCTTAAACGCTTGAATGACAAACTGCCTCCGTGGCCGAACGGTTACCATGCCGACAGCCACGCAGAGGTCCCAGGTTCGATTCCCGGGCCGGGAGAAATGTTTGTATGGCCTACATTTATTTCTCTCGTGAGTTTGGGTGTAATTTGTGGTTGTCTATATGTGTGTCCATGGCACCCGCGACACAGGGTTTCCCTAGTGCGGGGCTATGTTGAGTGTGTGCGTTATTTAAATGACGATGTTATAGATGGTACATGGCAACCCGACCTAGCTGAAGCCCTTGAAGAAAGAGATGAGGCGATAACAAGAGAAATTCATGAAGCTACACTTACCGCTAAGAAGAAAGTACAAGAAGCTGCTGCGGCAAAGAAGATAGAAGTAGTGAAAAAGAAGAAGTAGAATTTGTGAAGTTTTGGTTTTAAGAGAGTTGTCATTAAAGTTTTGACTATGGTAGGAATATATCAATTTTGTTTTTACTTGTAGATGACATGGAGATTTCAAATAAGATAAAAGCTTAGGATGGATTTGCTTTGGTCGATACCAAAGCAAATCCATCCTAAACCCCTAATTTTCAAAATAGAAAATAAAATAGGATCTAAACAAGTATATCTGTATGTACACCAGCGAGCTTTCTTTTTCGGCTAGCGTATAAAATGAAATTAACAGGTAAGTTAATAGAATACTCTAGCAAATTGAATACGATTAAGTAAATTCAATATTCCTTGATTACACACTACGCAAGAAAAAGCGATGAAACCGTAGCTAAAGCCATCAACTGGAAGGATGTGGAGACTTCAAAAGTGACCGCCAACGCCTACCCGGTAAATATCGCTTTGATTCATCGTGTTCATGTGCAACTGAATGAGTCCCATTGCAATAAACCTGATATTGGTTCACGTATTGATATAGAATATTTTGGATGCAGAAAGGACATTTTTTATGTGACATGATTGATGCCTATATATAAGGCATTTACTTTAATGTACTTAAATTACTATTTAGTATTCATACTGTAGTGTACAATAGTCACTGACCGAGTTCCAGAAGTCCAAGCACAAGATCTACCAGATGCCATGGAATGCAGCATTCTGGACTGTAAACGCATTAACCAAGTGCGCGATACAATACTGCGTTCGATGACTGGATTGTTAAGGGAGCAATACACCCAGTCTGAAATGGGATTGGACCCTCCCTTTTTAACCCCCGATCCAAAAAGAGGGGAGTTATAAGATTTAAGTTTATATCTGGGTCTCTATGTATGTTTGTAGTATCGTACGTACCTTTACAGCTGGACTCGTCTTAAGCGTTTTTTTTTCTTCTTCTTTCAAGACTAATTTAGTAGAGATGGTTCTTGGATATGTTTGATTTTAACTAGAGCATCTGTTCAGCCATTCAAAAATAAATTTGTTTTTTACCCAGTTAATATAGGCGTGTCTCGCGGCTCATCAATCACGTGTTCAAATATATTAATTTACTTTTGAATTGTTTCGCCAGGTCGCGCGACTCCTAATAAAACACGAAACCATTCTTCCATTTCTCCCATTCCTTAGAAAGGTTTCGCGACGTGATGTTTTCTAAATTATTAACAAATTTAAATGGCGGCTGTGGTGGTAATACGGCTTCCATCTTAGTACCAACGTTTGTAATTTAAATGTCTGCAAAACCACTGGCACATTTTTATCTACAGAACGTAAACACTATAAATTAAATTATCAGTTTGTTATGACTATGTTTGTGATGAATATAGAATATTTTATGTCAACACTGTTGCATTGGTTCATTTTTATTCCGACTGCGTCATGTTAACATATTAGGGAGCGACAATCAAACACCATAAACGACCTATCACGAAAATCGAAGCAATGATTGAAGATTGTGATTTGTCATAAGTAATTGTGGATATCTTACTCTGAAAAGTCACATAACAGCTATGGCATTGAATTTTGACGTTACTTTCATCGTAAAACTGATGTGTGTAGTACGTATGAGCTTCATTGCGGACGGAGGCACGTAGTATCGTATTTCGAGGTAGACCTCTTGTCCCAGATCATGACTGTCTTTATTCTGTTTACCCATTTGCATAAATGCATAGGGATCTCAGTCATAAAATGAATATTTATTTTACTTCCTTGTTACCATATATTGTAAACTTGCGTAAAGATAACTGAGCAAAGGGTATAATCGCGGCTACACAAAGGTGGAGAATCGGAAGACGCAGTTGAAAGAAAGAAAGAAAGAAAATATATTTATTTGGTCCACATTACATTGACAATAACTACTTTACAACTACAAAAATAAGGAACCAAAAAGGTCACCACTCAGCATGTGCCAGTTTGCTCACGGAGAAACAGACCGGCGCTGATATTCTGTGGCCACCACAACAGAAAGGATACCACTACAACGCACATACACTTTACCAACAGGAACATATACATACATCAACTTAACATAATATAAAATATATAGGTTTTTAAACATCACAATAAACAAACAATCATTAAACAATGACAAATCTTACCACATATAAAAAATATATATACTATAAAATAATATAACATAACATATGCTGGCCTAAATAAACTACACAAAAAACAGACAAAAAAAAATGAATTAAAATGAAAATTAAAAACAATAATAAACAAGTCTGAGGAGATAGTGGAGTAAATCAGCCATAAAGCCATTTGGCTTTATTCCACAATCCCTGAGGATCGAGCGATTGGAGTCCCGCCACGCCGTGAATTCGTTTGTGGTGAGACTGCCGACCGAACATTTGCCGACCTTCATGAAGGAAGAATTTTGGTCGAAGAGTGTTTTATCGGCGATTCCGCGGCCGCTTACCTGCCGCCAGATCGCACCACACGTCGCCGACAAGAGCGATTCGTGTAGATTTATTAGAAATAGTGTTTTATTATATTATATGTATGTTAGTCCTTGAGGTATACATTATATGGGTCATGTGACCTGAACTAAATAAATAAAAAATAATGTAGGTAATTATTAATTTTATTACAGTACGTTATTCCCTCTGCGCACAACATAATCTATCATAATCTCTGCTCGGGCAAAATCTGCACGGATCACTAGCATTATTGGATTTCTGGCTCCATAATATTCCTTTTGGATGCATGAATCTGTTCCACTATGTATATATATTTGCTCTGTTGAACAAGTTAGTATTGATATTGATATCACATTGATGGAATTGGCTATAAAGAGTATGTTGTGTGTTTATTTTGAGATCAACATGCGCCTACACCGCCCCGAGGCTCATTAATTCTGGCAAATGCCGTCAAGTTGTCGTATCAATGGCATACATTATAATACTTGCCATCGTGTAGAAAGGATTTGCCAATCAACGGAAGGTACCTACTAAGACTGTTGCTCAGGGTGCGCAAGACGTACAGTAAAGAATGTACGTTGTGCGGGAAGGCACCTTCGTGCACCTCAGACGCCGTAAAATTTGCTCTTTAAATATTTATAAAAATTCAAACCACCTTGCATTTTTGTTCGGGTTAAAACACAAATAAGATATATCGCACGGCTATTACATAGTGTTGTAACTCAAAATACACGTCAATACAACTGTTGTCAGAATATTAATAGAAAGATAAACAATTAAAAGATCTGCTTAATTCAAAATTAGACAAACTTTTTGTAAGCTAGTTGTGGACATAACAGTCATTACCCAAAAACATGAAATGTTTCTGTTCTACTTATAAGTATATTTGGCAATGTAGGAAATTGCTAAGTTGTCTGTAATTAATTTTAACCTACACATAATATTTAATAATCTTTTACAAGAAGTAATTCGTTTTTCATCGATTCTGAAATAAAACTACACTTTTTTTAATTAATACACTATTGTATTAACAGTGCGATATTATTATTTATAAAATTTTTTCAGGTTTTAAAAATTCAAATTTTCAACAACAATTTACGGAACTTAATCAGCCATAAACCAGTTTCAAAATTGGTATAATAGTTTTTGATCAACATTTTTAAGTAAGGCCATTTTAATACACAAAATGCAAAGTGGCTGGAAAACGTCGAAAGAAATAAAAAATTATATAATCTTTATAGCAGTAGAGGAAAGAGTTCGTCTAGAGAAGTACAGCCGTACACAGTATACAGTTTGTTTTGAACGATAAGGGTACTAGTGACATTACAAGCACGTGGGACTTTTCAACTTGTCTCACGGTGATGGGCTCAGTCGCAGTGCCTTATAGACTTTTTCGATTTAAAGCTCTGAGCAGCACTACAACTGTTATGGACATGCCTATCGCTTACCACCAGATGCATGATTTGTTTGTCCCGTCACGTCTGATATGAACTTTTATAAATTGATTCCAATTTGGATGTTCCATCGAGTATATAACCAGAAATAGAGACGAAATGTCATTTAATTTGTTTGCAAACTATTCTGCCATATCATTACTGTGACAACTGCGCGCCGATTGGCTAGCCCGAGTTCGAAACAATTGACGGGTGTCGTCAATGGGTGTCAACTGTTTCACTTCAAATCGACCAGTTAACTTAAGCTTTGCTATAATGGACGAAAATGGATGAAATGTGATTCCCTTTTGTTTTATAATTAGATAGTTTGCTGTTTTTCCTCACACCATCGAATGAAACATCACGCCATTGTTAGAGATATTATCTTTATCACAATAAATACAGAATATTTTTGGAATATACGGAGACGTACACACAGGTCAATTGTTGGTGCTGTCTATATTTTAGTGCAAACGAGATTTGATATTTATAAGTGATGTATCACTGATGAGTAACCAGGAATGCATGGCCCTAATTTCGTCTCTGTTTCTGGTTATATACTCGATGGGATGTTCTGAGTGCTTAGAAATGAATTCAGAATTGTTGCGGCTAATATTATTCACGTTATTTTTATTTCGATCCTTGTAGCTTTTCACTTCGCCTACCACGTTTTTCTTCGACATCAAGCATAATAATATTTAGCATAATAATATTAAATCTAAAAATACCCCCAACCCCCACCCCCACCGTTGTTGCCATTACCGTGACATCTGACAGCCGCTAAGTGGTATATAATGGAACCAATGCGACGCTAATGGCTCGCCGCTTTGACACTTTTAATAAATTTGTAATGTGACAATAATAACGCAATGACCCAGTTAAGAAGAGGCTATTAACTTTTGCCCTGTCTGATAAACTTTTGGGGTGGTATATCACGCAACGCGTCATTAATGTCATCGATAATGTGACATCCGAATAGGTTAAAAATTCACAGACCTATTTTCAGTGCTCTAATTTTCTCCAACCACAGATTTTATTATGCAACGGATAGCTATTAGCCTGTCCAATTGATGGGGCAAACAATCTTAGAAGATGGAAAGAAAGTGTAAGCAAACAAGTAATGCTAC